TTTTATAATCTGTAAAGAAAGTTTTTTCTATTTTATGAACTGTAAGGAAAGTTCTTGTCAATTCTATGAAAACAATCTAATTTTGTGGTTTGCAACCTGCGGGTGACAAGTTATACGATGAACGCTTTGTTTAATATTTTATGAATTGTAAGAAAAAATTTTTACCATTTTATGAGTGCGTTGTAAAAAAAAGTTGTTACCGTTTTTAATCTGTAACAAAGTTTCTGCCATTTTAAACTTTATAAAGAAAGTTCTTGCCAAAACATATGAAATTTCCCTATTTTATGACAATCCTTTTCCAAATCCAATGATCTTTACGTCGAAACGACATAAAGATCATAAAGCACCCCTTCGAACGGTGGGGTAGCCAAAAAGCTTCTTTGTATTCGAATACTTATCTGTGAATCTTTTGTGGCTCTCTTTATTGTAATATTATACATATTGGGAAAGTAATCGTGTTACAAAAGGAATAGGTAGTTTTTTTTAATTTTTTTGGACTTTTTGGGTTGGGCACGGGGGGGGTAGGGTAGGATAAATTTTTTGAAGAAATAAATGGCAAGAACTTTCTTTACAGAAAATATAATGGCAAGAACTTTCTTTACAAAAAATATAATGACAAGAACTTTCTTTACAAACCAAAAATAGCAAGAACTCTGTTTACCGATAAAAAAGTCAAAACAGCAGTAGTCGTATAACTTGTCACTCGCAGGCTGCAAAAGAAATATATTTACCAAGAACAATTGATGAGGCGTATTTTACAAGCCATAAAATGGGCGAAACTTTCTGTAAAAGCTATAATAATTAATAATAATTGGCATTCACCGTATAACATGTCACCCGCAAACTGCAGGACGCAACATGTGTTTTATTTGGAATGATCTGGCAATAACTTTCTTTACAAAGCCAAAAAAATATAAAATATTTATCTTGAACTTCATAATGAAGAAACTTTTTTTACAAGCTGTAAAAAGGTAATAACTTGTTTAAATTTAACGAAAACGGGATTTATCGTATAATGTGTCAACTGCAGGCTGCAGAACACACAAGATGCTTTTTCTGTATTAAAATTGACAAGAACTTTATTTATAAAACATAAAGTAGCAAGAACTTTCTTTACAAATAATAAAATGGTAAAAACTATCTTTACAAAGAATAAAATGACAAGAACTTTCTTTCCAAAGCCTAAATTTACAAATATTTAAAAATTTTTTAAATCTCCCGAAACATTGTTTACAACCAATTTGCATACTTGTCACAACCCAATTCGAGTAAAATATATTCGAAAAAACCGCCAATCCAGCCCGCCGTGGGTAGTCAAAGCAGTTCCCGCTAGCAATTTGTAAAACAACAAAACCCTTTTGATTCGAAACGCCATTTCGAAAAGTTTTTTTTTCTTTAAAATTTATTCGATTTGGGCGGGTTTCCTTTTGTCCGATCGGCTTTAAACTTTGCGGCTTCGATGGATCGCTTTTTGGACATTCGATCTACTCTCTTTTTCATAAATTTCAAAACTTTTTTGGGGCATAAAGGAATAAGTTAGGAGGGGGGGGGTGGGGAGGGGGTAAATTTCAAAAAGTTTTTATTGGAAAGGGGAAGGGGAGGGCGTAAAAAGAGAGGAAAGAAAATAAATTTTTAAAAATTTAAGAGTGGGGGGGGTAACTGAATATTGCTTTAAAAATGGAGAACTGAGAAGGGTGGGGGGGGCTTTAGATAAGTTTTACATTGTATTTGTTTGTGTTCTGGCTATATTATGACCTGTAAGGAAATTTTTTGTTATTTTAAGTTTGTAAACAAAGTTCTTGCTATTTTATAATCTGTAAAGAAAGTTCTTGCCATTTTATAATTTGTAAAGAAAGTTCTTTCCGTTTTATAATCTGTAAAGAAAGTTCTTGTTATTTTATAATATGTAAAAAAAGTTCTTGCCGTTTTATGTTTTGTAAAGAAAGTTCTTGCCGTTTTATATTTTGTAAAGAAAGTTTGTGCAAAATAAAAAGTCATGGTCATTTCTCGTTTAAAAGTAACCTCAAGTAACTCAGAGAGAAGTGAAACAAAGCATCTGTTAAGAGTGCCATAATAATCGTAAAAGATGTATGTTTTTGGGGATTTAATGGCTGCAGAAGAGACAATGGACTTTCGAAAATTTGTTTTTGATTTTTTTTATTTTCAATCTGAAATTTGGTTTACATAATTTGAAATGGCAAGAAGTTTCTTTACATGTTATAAAATGGCAAGATCTTTCTTTACGATTGCTAAAATGGTGTTGATCGTATAACTTGTCACCTGCAGGCTGCACAACTCACGCTGAACATATTTTGAATAGGATTGGAAGGAACTTTCTTTACAAAATTTAAAATGATAATAACTTTCTTTACAAATTATAAAATGACAAGAACTTTCTTTACAGAGCATAAAAAGACAAGAACTTGTTTTACAAATCAGAAAACTATGTTTTTTTTCAATATGTAAAGAAAATTTTGCTTTTTTTGTTTGCCAGACTGATTAAAAAGTCTTGTCGTCTACTACAATGTATTTTCAAGTGCAAAAGTGACAAGACTTTTTTTTAAACTTTTTATTTTTTTTTTTACCAACATTTGAAAAAAAGTTTTTTTTTAAGTTTTCGGCATCCCCCCCCCCACTTGTTTAAAAATCCGTAGAAATGCGTTAATCTTCCTATATGCAAATTGGACAATCGACCGGTCACCTGCCGCTCCAACTTGAAAGGCCTTTTGTCTTTCATATGAATCAAGAGGAGGGGCACAAATAGAGAGGGTGGGGTAAAAAACAAAAGGAGCCACTGTCTCGGTTTCCGGCTTCGAATCCTTTGCAAAAAGCGCATTCGGAAGGGGGCGGTGCCAATGGTTGTTGCAGTCGATTATGTAGTGGTTGATAATAGTTGGGCGATTGTTTTGGTCAAAGGGAAGAGAGTTAGGGCTTTAGTTTTTGAGGGTAGGGTAAAGTTTTTTAAAGACAGGGTAGACTTTTAAGAGGCAGGGTAGAACATCAAAGGTAGGGTAGGGTTTTCAAGGGTATGTTAAGGTTTTTTAAGGCATGGAGGATTTTTTGCAGGCAAGGTAGATTTTTCAAAATAAGGGTAAAGGTTTTTAGAACAGGGTAGATTTTTTCAAACTTTTGATGGTAGGGTAGATTTTCTGAAGGAAGGGTAGCTTTTTTAAGGGTAAGGTAGATTTTTCACGGGCAGGGTAGAAATTTAGCACTGAAGATTTTTTAAAATTAAAGTCAATCTCCTATTGAAGGGGTGGACTATTGAAGAGTTGGGTAGAATTTTTCAAGGCAGGGTAAATTTTTTGAGAAAAAATAGTTTTTTAAAAGCAGGGTAGATTTTTTACGGTTTGGCTAGGTTTTTCAAGGGAAGGGTAGATTTTTCGAGGGTAAGGTAGTTTTTTTAAAGCAGAGCAGACGTTTTTTGAGTAGGATAGGTTTTGTAATGCAAGGCATTTCAGGGTAGGGTAGGCTCTGGGCTGGGGCTATGGCTAGAGCTATGGCTCGGGCTCTGGGTTAGGGCTCTGGGCTAGGTCTCTAAGCTAGGGCTCTGGGCTAGGGCTCTGGGCTAGGGCACTGGGCTAGGGCTCTGGGCTAGGGCTCTGGGCTAGGGCTCATGGCTAGGGCTCTGGGCTAGGGCTCTGGGCTAAGGCTATTACCTCTAGCTTTTCTGTCCTACTTCTCTATCTACTACAATATTTCCTAAGCCTCATTTCTTCCTATATTAAACTAAGCCCACCCTACCCCACCCTAGCCCACCCAGCCCTCTCGCTTAAAAAAGAACTTTAAATTGATTATCAATAAATCAGGGCGCTTGTAACGTTCCCAAGTTGAGCATTTAATAATCGCGCAAAAAACAGGAGCAGAATTGATGGATGGGGGGGGTACCTTTGGCGGGAGTGGGTTTTCTCGACGATCGCTTCCCTTTTTTTGTTTATTTGTTGGATCAATAAAAAAGAGGAAATTAGCGCCAAATTCGGCTTGCCTTCGTTGAGAATGGCATACATACGATTTACGAGGGCGCAGAATTATGTGAACAACTTAATACTTAGGCCCGGACTAAGTAATCTCTATAGTCTAGTTAGGGGAAAGGTGGATTAGGCATACACAAGGGCGGGGTAGGTTAAATAAAAAAATATTTTGAAAATGGGAGGGGAAGGGAAGAGAGAAGGAAGAGAGTAGATTTTTAAGGTGTGTAGGGGAGGTGGTGATATAAAATGGTTAAAAAAAGATTTTGGGTTTAAAAAGGGTCGAGTAGTTACGGTGGTGAGGGAGAAGGGTAAAGTGATTGAAGGAGTGGTAAAATAAAAAAAGCGTTGTGGGAGGGGTAAAAAAAGCGAAAAAAATAGTTGGAAGGGTAAAATTTTTTGTGGCATAAAATCAGGGCGCGGTAAAAAAATCAAAAAAATTTTTTTTTGATTTTTTTTTAATGTTTTTTTTTGTTTTTTATGTTGTCATTGCTATGACTCAATATTAATCAACCCCTCCTCCCCCACCCTTCCTTACAGTTTTATCAGTGAATATCACTGAAGATTACTCTTTTTTAATACTTTATATAAACATAAGTGACCATTCACTATATTTTTTTGATTTATTTGCGTTACGTAATGTAAAATACGGCGTATATTTGGTACAATCAAAATTTTAAGATATTGTAGTTCAAAATTTAGGGTTCGGGCTAAAGCCAGAGCTCTGGGCTAGGGTTAGGGCTCTGGGCTAGGGCTCTGGGCTAGGGCTCTTGGCTAGGGCTCTGGGCTAGGACTCTGGGCTAGGGCTCTGGGCTAGGGCTCTGGGCTAGGGCTCTGGGCTAGGGCTCTGGGCTGGGGCTCTGGGCTAGAGCTAAGGCTAAGACTTCGGACAGCTTTTTAGCTTTTTTTTGCGTATTTTACATTTTTCAAAATTTAAAAAAAAATTTAAATTTAAAATTTCAGACAAATGGCAAATTGAAATCAACATCACATCTAAATTTATATGGTTGAGTATTTATACCATAGTTAACCATGGACTTACTACTACTCTTAATCTTCTTTGTTGCTCAAACCTTTGCCGAAACCAATGAAAATCTGAATCCAAAACCAAGAAGTGTCATCAATGAAGGTGAGTTGTGTTCTTATTAATGTACTACTGGCCATTTTTAGGGGATTTATGGATTGGAAAGAAAGTTCTTGCCATTTTAAGATTTGTAAAGAAAGTTCTTGCCATTTTATGCCTTGTAAAGAAAGTCTTTGCTATTTTATTTGTTGTAAACAAAGTTCTTTCCATATTGTTTGAAACCCAAAAACAGATAAGTCGAGTCCGTAGGCATTTCAAAGTCCATCAACTTTTCCCTGAGGACATTGCAGCCAAGGGCCAGTAAAAATAATTTCGCCACTCAAACGCGCAAATCGACGAATTATCATGACATTTCAGGCCTTAAGGGACCTATTTCGCTCGGCTTTCCCACTTTTTTGGGGAATTTCAAACGCCACAATTTACGACTTTAATTTTCGATAGTGATTACTGGTCGATTTTGAGTTGTTAGGCAAAAACATGCGTTGGGTTTTGATAAAAATGGCAGAAAGCCTTGACAGTTGACAAAAAAGTCACTAAAAATGGTGAAAATTGGATAAAAACCATCCAAAATCACGATTAGCGTATTTTACAAAATTTCAATTTTTTTAAAATTTAAAAGAAATAATTTTTTAGTGTATTCTACAGTATATAAATATCAAAAACTTTCTTTACAACCTATTTTGTATTAGTTATTGACTATTTTCGCCAAGCGGATTCGAACCCTCTCCGAATAATCAAGTGCACCGTTGCTTAACTTGCCAGATCGGACGGGACCGTGTTTACCTTTCGCGCTATTGAAGCAAATTGCTCATAATGGCGGGAAAATTGAAGAAACTTTATTTACAAGCTTTCAAATACTTTTTAAAAATAATTTTTAAATTTAAAATTTAAAAACTGACAGAAACTTTGTTTCCAGCCTTTTTTTCGGGCCAAAAAGCTTATTATTTACAATTTTTTAAACTGCAATGTTAGTTCGAAATTGCAAAAACTTTGTTTCCAATAAAAAAATTATAAAGCATGTTGCACTTTTAGCAGTTTTCCCATTAGTTTTTGCGTTTCCAAGTCAATTTCTCACTTTTTGTTTATAAAAACTTACAAAAAGCTGATTGGAGGTCAAATTAACAGAAACAATGGGCGATTAATCTTGAGATCGAATAGTTTTTTGGCTTTGGGAAAGTTACAAATTAAAAGTGATGGGAAAATGAATTAGTAATCTGAAAAAAATATAAAAAATTTGCAACTTTTTAATTTTTTTTTCTTTTTGGTCGAAATAAGAGAAGTTTTGCATTGTGCAGCCTGCGGAGGACAAGTTATACGATGAATGTCATTTTAGGTTTTTGTAAAGAAAGTTGTTGCCGTTTTATGGCTTCTAATCAAATTTCTTGCCGTTTTATGCTTTGTAAATAAAGTTTTCTCCATGTTTCAAAAATTCAACGTTGAAACTCAAACTGCCACTTAAAACATCCGTAATTTCAAATTGAAGCCATTTGAAAAGCGATAAATCTAGTAGTATATGTTCATATTGGCCATTCAAACGGTCGTCCTAGTTTTTGTGACAGCCGGACAACATTTATCTGTTTTTTAAACGAATGGCTTGTAGACGTTCGCAAAGGTCGTTTTGGACCGAAAAATGGCAGGAACTTTGTTTCCAAAGCAAAAAATAGAATTCATCGTATAGCTTGTCGCCCGCAGGCTGCACAACGCAAAATGCGCTTATTTTTAATAGAATTGGCAGGAACTTTCTTTATAAAGCTTGGAATGGCAAGAACTTTGTTTACAAAACATAAAATGACAAGAATTTTCTTTACAAAGCAAAAATGGCAAGAATTTTGTTTACAAAACACAAAATGGCAAGAACTTTCTTTCCAACCCTCTTTTTCCCAAAATTTGCCTAATTCATTTCTAATTTGCATAAAACGACAAAGAATATTACCCAAACCCTCATTATGTGTCCTCATTACTCGGTATCGCATTTATTGACATTGCGCAATGTTTTCGAATTATTTTAATTACAAATGGACATCAGCGCGTATTAATCCGCATAATAGCCGCCGGGTCTAATTAAATTTGACTCAAACAAATCTAATTTTACAAAAACAACCGGAAGGAACTTTGTTTACGAAGCCAGGAATAATAGTATTGGGAAAGTTTTGTTTACAAAAGTGTCATTACTTTTGACATGAATTGAAAAATTGTATTTAAAATTTAAAAAACTAAATTTTTTTTGGTTAAAATGGCAAAAAAATAAGAATTTTTGGCAAAAAATTTTAAAAAACGCAATAAGTTTGTTTACAAAATATAAATATTCACAAAATTTTAAAACATGAAAGATACTGCTCTACTACATCATAAAAGTATAAAAAACGTTTTTTAAATGACATTTCACACTTATTAATGACGATTTCCACTGAGCGGATTCGAACCCTCCTGGAATAATCAAGCGCACCGTTGCTTAACTTGCCAGATCGGACGAGGCCGCCTTTACCCTCTGAGCCATAATAACAAAATTCCCAAAACAGCCAAAAAATTGCAAAAACTTTGTTTACAAGTTTAGAAATGAAAAATAAAACAATTTTTAATCAAAAACTTTTTAAAAAACATAATTTTAGGTACAAATCAAGTCAAATATCAAAGTGCGGCCGGGACGCAAGAGAACTTTCGATTGATGGACGTATATGGTGACTCTATAATTATTGGAGCACGGGATGCTGTTTACAATTTATCAATTCAAACTTTGGATCCTAAGTTTGTAAGTTTTTTTGAAAAAAGCCGGAAGTGTTGGGATGCGCGTGATTTTTAGGGACAAAAACGTGAAATTTTATGCATTTGAGACACTGAGAGACTTCCTCGGTAGATTAGTTAATTTTCTTGATTTTTGGGTGATTTTGAAACATTTTCAGTTTGTAAAAGCTTAAAAAGATATAAAGGAATATTTTTAATATATTTTGTTTAATTTTTAGTCGTTTCACATCTTCTAACATTGATTTCCACCTCATTTTAGACGATAAAATGGCCGGCATTAGGACAAACCATCGAAGAATGTCATATGAAAGGCAAATCCGAAGCCGAATGTCATAACTACATCCGAGCCGTCACTCCGCTTCGAAATGGTCGCACTTTGGTGTGTGGTACACATGCCTTTTCACCACAATGTCGAGAGTACGACTATAGTATAGCTGAAGATCGTTATGTGGAAAAACAAGCCTTCAGCGGTCAAGCTATTGTGCCATATGATCCTAGACACAACTCTACATATGTTTATGTCAGAGAGAGCAATGACATGTTTGTTGGAACTGTCAGCGACTTTGGAGGTAACGATCCATTGATCTACAAGAAGAGATTGCCTAGAGGAGAGAATTTGAGGACGCAGAAGGATGATTTGAGGGTTATTGATTGTAAGTTTTGTTTACAACATTATAATTTGTATTTTTTATTGAAATTTTAGTCTTTGAAATATTAAAAAGGCTAAAAATTACAATTTTCTGTCCAAAATAGCAAAAACTCAGTTTCAGACACGTTTTTAAAATTTAAAATTGCAATAAAAAGTTGATAATACTTTTCTATATTAAGCAAATATTAAAAAACTTTTTACAACCTATTTCACCCAAGTTAATGCTCATTTTCTCCAACCGGATTCGAACCCTCTTGGAATAATCAAGCGCACCGTTGCTTAACATGCCAGATCGGACGAGGCCGCCTTTACCCTTTGCGTTATGATAGCAAATTGGTCTTAATTAGCGGAAAAACTGAAGAAACTTTGTTTACATGCTTAAGAAAGTATAGTAAAAGAATTTCTTGGATTTGAAAATTTAAAAAATGGCAAAAACTTTTTTTACGAAACTTTTTCGGGCTGATTTACGAGCAAACTATCTCTTTTTTACAAAATAGAAGAAACTTTGTTTACAAAGTCATAATATTAAATTTTCTTGATTTTTTAAGATTTTTATAATGAGTCATGATATATAATGGCATATTTTTAGACCCGGACTTTGTGGGATCGTTCGTGTACAAAGAGCATGTCTACTTTTGGTACCGTGAGAAGGCGGCCGAAAGCATGGATAACAATCATGAACGTCAAACCTACGCTAGAGTTGGTCGAGTTTGTGCCAATGATCACGGTGGACCATCGCCAGCCCAAGACCGATGGTCATCCTTCTTGAAGGCAAGGTTGAATTGCTCTGTTCCGGCGGACGTGCCATTCTATTTTAATGAATTGCGTACGTTTTTTAAATTTAAATTTTTAAATTTTAGGGGTTGGATATGTTACGGTAGTGTAGAGACAAGATAGATGACGGTAAAGGTAGGGCGGGTAGGATAGGGTAGATAAGGGAGGGTAGGGTAATTTAGGGTAAGCTGAATTAAGGTAAGGTAAATTAGGCTAGGACAAGGTAGTGTAGGGCATTTTAAGGTAGAGGAGGCTACTGTAGGCCATAGATACTTTAGAATAAAGCATACCACTGTACGTCAGGGTGCAGTAAGGTATGATAGAATATTCTAGTGTAGGTTAGGATACTGTAGTGAAGAATAGGGTACTGTAGGGTGAGATAAAGCAGTACAGTAGTGTAGCTTAGGATAACTCGTGGTACTGTGAGTATTGGAATTCTCTTTACTTTACAGTAATCTATTTTATCCTACTTTACCTTACCTGACTCTACCTTGCCCTAACCTACCCTATTCTACTCTACTATCCTCTACTCTTCCGTGTCCTACGCTACCGTACCTTAATCTACCTTACTCTGCCCTATTATATCCTGCCATAACCTACTTTACCTTTCTGTACACTGACTTGCTATATCTTGGCATACTCTACCTTACCATGCTCTACTCTGTCCTACCTTATTCTACTCAACCTTACTTTACCATACCTTCCTTTGCCTATATCTTATGTTAAGGTATTATAGTTGTGGTAAAATACGATATTCAGTATCTTCATAAGCAACATTTTTTAGAATCAATAAGTGATCCAATAGAAGATGGCGCAGGTGATGCGGTTGTCTACGGTGTCTTCCAAACTTCAAGATCATCAGTTCTACTCTCAGCTGTCTGTGCCTTCAAAATGAGCACAGTGCAAGAACTTTTCGATCACGGCCGCTTTAAAACTCAACGAACGCCACAATCAGCCTGGGTACCTAACCAACGATTCTACACGGCTAGCCAGGAAAGGCCCGGAAAGTGTGTTATGGACAGTCGGAGGTTGGCTGATGTGTCATTTATCATGAAGAACCCTTTGATGTATGACTTGGTACAGTCACAGGGGAAGCGGCCGTTATTGGTGGAGGGACCGGCCAAGCCTGAATTAACTGCCATTCATGCTGTTAAACGGTAAGTTAATATACCCCCTACCCTCGTAGTCTGCTCTACAGTGGCATTTCTTATTCTGGGTTACTGTAATGGGACCTACTGTGCTTTATTTTGAATTACAGTACTATACCTCACCTTACTCTAATTGATTTCAGAGTAAAATCAGTCCGCGGCCAATACCACAACGTCATATTTGTTGGACGGCACGACGGAACGATAGGAAAAATTGTCGAAACAGCCAAAAATCAAACCACCGTTCTCGCAGAGAACGTTCGCGTCTTCGAACCGCACGTCCCCATCATTCAAATAACGTCGGCTTCTGATCTGGAGCTTCTCATCGTTGCTAAAGATCGAATTGTCAAGGTTAATGTACAACATTGTGACAGTCAGACCAGTTGCTCATCGTGTGTAAGGCTGAGGGATCCTCACTGTGCTTGGGATATCTCTACGAAGCGATGTGTGCATCGAACGTGAGTTAGTTTGGAAAAATTTATAAAAGTTAAAAATTTCTGGGAAAACGACTATAACTTTTTGAACAAAACTAAAAAAATTTAAAATCACTTTATAATAGATTAAATAGACCCTCCTAAATCCAAAAATAATAATTTACCTTTACAGTGACTGGTCGCGCGGCTCCTATGTCCAAAACATCTTGACCGGCATCTCCGAACAATGCCCAAGTTCGGTTTATGCTCAAACAATCGATGAAAACAGCTATGCCATCGACGTGAATGGCCCCGGATTTGGAGAACAGATTCTTTTGGGTCAGATAAAGTCAGAAGGACTCAGTAATTCAAGCACAGAGTCGGCTTCGGTGACGGTAATGATGACAATCATCGCTGCCATAATGTGTGCTTCGTTAGTCGGGTTTTTGGTGAGTTTCTTGGAGATTTTGGTTGACAAATGGAGTTTTTAAGTAATTATATAATTTTTGATTAATTTTTATGTTTAAATTGGGTAATCATTGATAAGTGTGTTTTATTTTTATGTGAAGGATGGGTTATGGAGAAAAAACGTGAAATTATATGCATTCTTCACGTCTCTACAACGTTATAGAACGAAGGCGTAAAATTTTATGCATGATTTACGCGTTATGTACACAAACGTTAAATCTTATGCTTTTTTTATTTTTTATGTAAAATACGTGATGTCTATGGATTTTCAGCCGAAAAACTAATAGTTAACCATAAATTTTTAAAATAGAACTTTTCAAACACATTTGCATCAACATTAACCACTTTTCTTTCAGATTGGCTACAGAATCTCGAAATATCGCGCGGCCCAACAGCTCGGCTCGGCCGCCGGCTCCTCCAATGGTTCGGACTGTGATTCCTACGGCCGTGCCCGCTTAACACGGCACGATTCGTTGATAATGCACAAAGCGACGGTTGGATCTGCACCCGGAGAGCACATATACTCGTCAGCACCGGTGAGTCGAGGTGGTGCTGATACGGTATCGCTGGTGTTCAATGCCTCACTTCACAACGGTCATATGCCGGTGATGACGTCGATATCGAATGGAGGGAGTGGGATACAGACGCCACGGCATGCTGAGAGGAATCTGATGTTGGGGCAGAGTATGGGCGCGACACTGCCGAGGGATTACAGGGTCAGGAAAGTGTATTTGTAGGTGTTGAGGTGGATTATTTAGGTAATTTTTGGTATTTTAAAGGTTTTTCTGGGTATTGTAAGGTGTGTTTTGGGTATTAAAGGGTGTTGTTAGGTATTAAAAGGTAGACAAAGGGCTTCTTTAACGATTTTCTTATATTATAGTAGGTGGTTTAGGTCGTTTAGATGCGTTTTTGCGGTTTTTACGCTTTGACGAGGCTTGATATATCTACTACAATATAAAAAACGAAAGAAGCTTTGATTTTATTCCTAAAAACCTAAAAATCTTTCTGTTCTAGCTTTACTATACCTAAATACACCTCCATATACCCTGTTACTCTGTAAATACCCCAATATATCCATCTACTCTGTAAATACGTCTTTTCTCAAAAGTTATATCGAATATCATCGCTGCCAAACCTTATTATTGTTATATATTTAACTATGTCGAAACGGGTGTTAATGTAGTCAGATATCTTTGTTATCAACTGTACATGTTCATTTGATCTCGTATCTATCGCACTTTTATATTTTTTGTTACATCGTATGTTTGTATCATATATTGTATGGTAAATTTAATAAATTTGAAGATATATTGTGGCAGATGTTTTACTGTATGAAGAGGTGGGGGTAACTGTGAAGGTAGTGGGATGGCGGTAGGGGTAAAAATATTGTATAAACTAGATTAATATACAGCTTTTTAACATTAAAATATGTTGTGATATGACAACATACACATGTACAAACATTCCTTATTTTTTATATGTTTTTCAGTTGTCTTTCAAATAGCATATAACTTTTATAAAACGAATTGTTAGGGGATTTTACATTTGTTTGTTACAGAGGAGTTCGTTATACAAGAGTTTCACCGCATCAAACTGTACGATTCAAAGCTTATTATCGAAATACCTTCAAACTGGCATTGAATCCGATCTTAAAGTCGAGCCTGCGGTCTCGTAGGTTGTTCACTGACGGCCATTTCTAGAAACAGGAGAGTGCGATCAATTGCCTTCAATAAAGGTATGTCACACGTTATTGTAGGATAGGGTGATGTAGGATAAACCAAGACAAGGTAAAGTAGCGTATGGTCTGGTAAAATAGGCTGGGGCAGGTTAGAGCAGATCTACAGTATGTACCTAAAAATTACAGTTTGTACTTAAAACATCAAGTATCATTTAAAGCAAAACGTCATTTTTAAAAGTCATTTCTTACTGTTAAGTGTATCAGTTCAATAACGAATCGAATTGTTATTGAACTGATACACTCAATTAACTGGTTTTATCCGCTCAAAAACAACATTAACTTTTACTGATGCGACGGATCTGTGAACTGCCTTTTTACTATGGTTTATGACGGCATTTGGGGTTATAAACATCTTAAATTTGATGACTATTTTAAAAAATTTTATTTTCAACTATTTTTAAAGATTTTCGTCCATTTTTTTTAATTTCAAAATTTTTTTTTAAATTTAAAACTTATTTTTCAGCTTAAAAAAGTTTTAAAAATAATTTTTGTTTGTTACAGGGTTCGTATTTTACATTTTTTTTAATTTTAGAATAATGTCACTGAAGTTGGTGATTGCCATTTCTTTATTGACCATCCTATGTGAAGCTGCTTGGGACTGTGGGTCGAGTAACGATGGCCTTGGAGGCTCATCTCTTCTCTTTTCAGAAGGCTTGGTCAATCTAAATTGTGCTCAACAAAAAGGTAACAAATTTAAAAAATATAAGGCGCCGACATAAAGAATCCGCCATTTTTTACAGGTAATTACAGGCAAAGTATGGCGGGTTGTTTATGTCGGCACCTAATACAGTTTAACTCTTGTATAACAACGTAGGTCACTTAACGTTTTTTAATTTTAGCCAGACTAAACAACTGTTGTAAAGCCCACGACAAATGTTATAATAGGCAAAAAGGTCGTGTTCCTTGCGACAATCAGTTCTGCGATTGTGTCGCTGTAAGTTTCTGTTTTACATTACAATGAAACGATGGATAAAGAAAAAACAGGACCGTTTAGGGTAGGATAGGAAAGTGTTGATCTGTCATAATCTTATTCTTGCTTACGGTAAAAGAAGGATAGGGTTAGGACCGCCAAGGACAATGCTAGGGTTGGACAAAGCTGACTGAAGCAAGAGTATGAATAAGATAGAGTTAGACCCGAGATTAGATAAAAGTAGAAGAAAGCTAGTACAGTAAACTACTGTAAAGCAGAAACGAGGTACAGTAGACACGGTAAAGGTAAGGACAGAACGATTATGAAAAATCATAGTATGGTTTCAGTAAAGCACAATAGGCGGGACAACGTATAGTTCAGTATAGCAAAGCATAGTGAAGGGTAAGACTAGAACTAAGGATAAATTAAGGTAAGGAAAGGTAGGGTAGGGTAGGGTAGGGTAGGGTAGGGTAGGGTAGGGTAGGGTAGAGTAGGGTAGAGTAGGGTATTAATTATATAAATTTTAGCGTAATGCTGTGCCAGGCCCATGTAAAGGATTTACTGATCAAATGTGCTTCGCTGTTCGTGCCTTCGGCGAAGGAGCTTATAAAGCATCCAGCTAAATTTGATCTTTTTTTGAGTTTTTAAATAAATTTCTATTTATTATATTTTATACGTTAATTGACGTATTTTACATAAAAATGCCCTAAAGATTACTTTAGAACACAAAGAATGACAATAACTTTCAGTAGAATAGCTAAAATGACATTTATCGCGTAACATGTCACCCGCAGGCTGCAAAACATAACATTTTCGTATTTCGAAAAGAATTAGCAAGAACTTTCTTTACAACACATAAAATGGCAAGAACTTTCTTTCCAAAATCTATTTATTCATAGAAAAATGCTTGGCGGAGTAGTAGAAAGCTTGTCCTTCTTCCTGGCTGATCTGGAACATTCTTCAGTACAAGTACCATAGTTACAGCGATGAATAGAACCGAATCGGCTTTCGCCCAGTATGATTGTTATAGCACCAAACAAAAAGTATACTCCACTGAAAAGAATTCTAATATAATTTTACCCTACCCTACCCTACCCTACCCTACCCTACCCTACCCTACCTTACCCTACCCTACCTTACTCTATCCTACCTGAATTGATATACCTTGCTCTACCTTGAGATAGCCCGCTACACTTACATTAATCCAACAGTAATACTGATAGTGATAGCAGCTGATGGTATATTGACATGTCGTTCAATATCATCAGTATCATTGCCTGATGTTATACTTTCATTTATGTAGTAATCGAACGAAGCAAATAAAGACAAATCAGTTGAATTTAAAGTCATTTAGGTTATAGTACATTGATATCATAGATAAGTCAATTTTATAACAAGTAAAAGAATAATATCAAGGTTTAGTACACAAAACTAGGCTCGAACGACCAAATTTGATAAAAGAATACAAAAGAAAATGACATTTTTTAATAATAAATTATAAAAAAAAATTTTTACTGGTAGCAAGAGCTTGAAAAATAAACAAAAACTTAATTTACAAAAAGAAAAAGAGCAAGAACAAACCTGACATTTGACTTTTTCATCGTATAACTTGTCATCCGCAGGCTGCAATGCATATAAGAGCAATTATTTTGAATAAAAATGAAAGACTTTCTTTACAATATAAAAAAAAGTTTTAAAAATGTTATTTGAAATTAAAAATGGCATGAACTTTCTTTACAACACATAAAATGGCAAGGATTTTCTTTACAAAACATAAAATAGAATTCATAGTATACAAAAGTGCAGAAATTTTGTTAAATATGTCACCTATAACCTGAAAGACTATTTAAATTCCTTTTTCAATGATAGCTTTAACTTTCTTTAAGAACCATAGAAAGACTAAAAGATATGGCATTCGTCGTATAACTTGTCACTCACAGGCTGCAGCCTAATAAAAGCTTATTTTGAAAAGAGTATGCAAAAACTTTCTTTACAAAAAATAAAAGAGCAAAAACTTCGTTTCCAAAACAGAAAATGGCAAGAACTTTCTTTACAAAACAGAAAATAGCAAAAACTTTCTTTACAGTTTTATTTTTATAGCTTAAACATAGTTACTATGCCATGCTTATTCGTACATGTCCCATTTACATTGTCAAATGTTTGTTGTTTTTACATTTCGCTGCCAACAAGACCCTGGAGAATCGAAATAATGTCATCTTTGTACTCTCTTGTTATGACAAGCACCATTTATTTTTGGAATTGTCAAATTTACGTTGTCGTACGTACTTTGCTACTTAATACGACATGCTATATGGGTTGCACTTTTGGAAAGGAAACGGAATATAAAGGTTATAGGCCATTGGAGGCTTTTTGAAAAGGGTTTTATATAAAACTATGTGAACTTTGAGGTTTGTAAAGAAAGTTCTTGCCATTTTATGCTTTGTAAAGAAAGTTCTCGCCATTTCTTGTTTTGTAAAGAAACTTCTTGCAAGTTTATGATTTGTAAAGAAAGTTCTTGTCATTTTAATATTTGTAAAGAAAGTTCATGCCATTTTATGCTTTGTAAAGAAAGTTCTCGCCATTTCTTGTTTTGTAAAGAAACTTCTTGCAAGTTTATGATTTGTAAAGAAAGTTCTTGTCATTTTAATATTTGTAAAGAAAGTTCATGCCATTTTATACTTTGTAAAGAAAGTTCATGGGCTTTCTTGTTCTGTAAATAAAGTTCTTACCATTTTAAGATTTGTAAAGAAAGTAATTTCCGCTTCATTCAAAATAAGCTTTTTTCTGGTTGTGCAGCCTGCGGATGACAATTTATACGATAAATGCAGTAACTATTACAACGTGAGATTTTGGGGGTATTTGAAGAAAGTTTTTCACTATTTTGTGGCTTGTAAAGAAAGTTCTTGCCAATTTTAATAAAAGTAATAGAATTTTTTGTGTTGCAGCCTGCAGGTGACAAGCTATACGATAAGTGGCATTTTGTTTATGTCTGAACAAGTCTTCACCATTTATCGATTTGTAAAGAAAGTTCTTGCAATTTCGTAATCTGTAAAGAAAGTTTTTGCAATTTCAAGTTTTGTAAAGAAAGTTCTTGCCACTTTATAATTTGTAAAGAAAGTTCTCGCCATTTTATGATTTGTAAAGAAAGTTCTTGAGATTTTTGAATTGTAAAGAAAGTTCATGCTGTTTTCCGATTTGTAAAGAAAGTTCTTGCTATTTTATGATCTGTAAAGAAAGTTCTTGCCGTTTCAAGTTTTGTAAAGAAAGTTCTTGCCACTTTATAATTTGTAAAGAAAGTTCTCGCCATTTTATGATTTGTAAACAAAGTTATTGACATTTTTTGATTCAAATCCAAAACTTTAATCCACTTCAAACTCAAATTGTCTTTGTTCTGACTCTCTGTGACCCTAAAGGACTGAAACTTAATTTACTGTGAGTAATGAACATCTTGCTCGATGGTCTTATTGTCTAAAGGGCTTTGACAATGTTAATGCACTTTGAACACAAAACGTAGACATCGTATGGGGAAGACGGGAATATTTGAGTTTGGACTTTAAAAGGGCAGAAACTTTCTTTACAAATTAAAAAATTGCAAAAATTTTTGGGGAGAAGGAAAGTAATGGAAAGAACTTTCTTTACAAAACATACAACGGCAAGAACTTTCTTTCCAATCTGTAAAGTGGCAAAAACTTTCTTTACAAGCTGCAAAGTGGCAAGAACTTTCTTTACAAGCTATAAAATATCAATAACTTTCTGGGGCCACGGTAGAGAAAACCCCCATGGTATTTAAAACCCCCATACAAACTTTAAAACACCCATTTCATTTTTTTTGAAACAAATATCATTTTCAATGGTGAAAAAGAAAAAGCTGGTCGTTTCAAAATTCTAAGACCAATTTTTTGTACTTTAAAATTATGCAAAATGGCCCACTAAGTATAGATAACCCCCAAACTAAGTATATAGCACCCCCAACTGAGTATATAACACCTCCAACTAAGTATATAAAACCCCCAAATGAGTATATAACACCCCCAAAAGTATATAACACTCCCAACTGAGTATATAAGACCCCCAACTAAGTATATAACACCCCCGACTAAGTATATAAAACCCCCAAATGAGTATATAACACCCCCAACTGAGTATATAACCCCAACTAAGTATATAACACTCCCAATAATTCCCAACACATTATCTACAAAACTAAAATCAAAAACATGTAACTTAAACTGAAAATATTGAAAATGTTACCAAGAGTTGTGGAGAACAAAAGGGTTGCCATGAAAAAGTCTTATAAGAGCACGAAATTGAAGATATAAGCGTAGGGTATCATCTTGATCAAGATACCATCGTATGTCACCAGTATATCCGTGAATAATAAGCGTGGTCCAATTAGACAGCCGTTTTCGACGAAAAGAAAATGAAGAATGAAAAGCAAAAAAAAACCATTTTCCTTTTGTGAAATTCAAACTTTCATGCAAATTTCTCAGGTCTTGGGGGTCTTCTCTATATGAGAAATTGGGTGTTTTAAAGTAATGGTTTGGGAGCTTTCTCTACTGTAGCACCTTTCTTTACAAGTCTTGAAATGGCAAGAACTTTGTTTACAAATCATAAAGTGGTAAGAACTTTCTTTTCGCAGCTTAAAATGGCAAGAACTTTCCTTCCAAATTTGTAAATTAAAATTAGTGTTGCAAGAAGTTTGGGCCGCCGTTCGAAACCTTCTGGCACATTTCCAAGAACGAATTTACGTATTTCCTTTTCTCCTCATTCACCCCCCTCCCCTTTCGCTTCGTACATTCCTGTGCCGGCATCGCTCGAAGACAAGTTATTTTTTTAAAATTATTTTTCTCGAGTTCAGTCAACAATTAAGTAACACTTTCTTTGGCTTCTTTTCAACTTGGCTGGAGTAAAATACGAGCAGGCATCTTGAAGATTACAACAATCGTTATACAGGAGCTTCTTTAGTTAGTGAGAGGGGAGGGGTACGCGGCGGGGGGGGCTAAGACTAAGGCTAAGGCTAAGACTAAGGCTAAGGCTAAACCTCAGGCTCAAGTTCAGGTTCGAGTTCAAGCTCAGGCTCAAGCTCAGGCTCTGGCTCAAGCTCAAGTACAGGTTCGAGTTCAAGCTCAGGCTCAAGCTCAGGCTCTGGCTTAAGCTCAAGCTTTGTCTAAGTCTAAGCCTAAAATTATGAATAAATCTAGGTTAAAGGTAAAACCTTGACTAAGGCTAAAAATCAGGTTCAGGCTAAAGGTCAAGCTCAAGCTGAAGCTCAGGCTTCGACTTCGGCTTACAGCTAATTTAAGACTAGGCTGATGCTGAAGCTAGCGCTAATACTAGGACATGAAAAAGCATGTTTATGTTTGTAAACAAAGTTTCTTCATTTACTAATATGACTTTTTTAAATTGCCAAATCAAAAAGTGCCCTTTCCAATGTTTAAACATCAGTTTTATCATTTCATTTTGTTGTTCCAAACTTTCTCCATCCTTTTAATCTTATTCTGTAGTCCAAAACTCTTTCCTCTAACCCAGTCTCTCTCATACTCTCTTCCTTTCACACGCTATTTCGTTGCTCGAAGGGATAACGTGGATGAAAATGCGAGAATTTTGTTTCACTTACAATTTCTTTGTCACAAGAGCAAAAAAACGCTTTATCTTTTGGGGATTTTATTGTTTTGGGGCCGCGAACGCTCTAATGGACATCACGACTTTGTTCGACTGTTTTCTGCCCTCAGGGTTTCTACATTTTTTTTAAATAAACTTTTTTGTTTTTAAGTTTCAGGAAGTTCAGATAAATTTGTAAGGAGGTTTTCGCAATTTTTTAATTGTTGCAAAGAAAGTTCTTAGTATTGTATTCTTTGTAAAAAAACTTCTTGCCATTTTATGTTTTGTAAACAAAGTTCTTGCCATTTATATGTTTTGTAAAGAGAGTTCTTGCAATTTTAGAGCTTTGTAAACCACCTTATGGCCAATGTAGGTTTTGTAAAGAAAGTTCTTGTCACTATGATCTGTATGACCTGTAAAGAACGTTCTTGGTATTGTATTCTTTGTAAACAAAGTTCTTGCTATTTTAGAGCTTTGTAAATCAAGTTCTTGTAATTTTAGGCTTTGTTAATAAAGTTATTGCCATTTTATGGCATGTAAAGAAAGTTTCTGCCATTTTAAAGCTTTAGAAAAAAAATTCTTGTCGTTTTTTTATAATAAAATCTGTATTTTGCAGCCTGCGAGTAAAAGTTGTATCATAGATGTCTTTTTTCCATTTTATGATTGCTGTAAAGAAATTTTTTGCTATTTTAGGCTTTATAAATAAAGTTCTTGCTATTTTATGACTTGTAAAGAAAGTTCTTGCCATTTTATGTTCTGTAAAGAAGGTTCTTGCCATTTTATGTTTTGTAAAGAAAGTTCTTGCTATTCTTGGTTTCGTAAAGCAAGTTTTTGCCAGTTTAAGTTTTGTAAACAAAGTTCTTTCCATTCCAGGCTTTGTAAAGAAAGTTCTTGCCGTTTTACGTTTTATAAAGAAAGTTCTTGCAATTTACCCTTGTAATGAAAGTTTTTGCCATTTTAAATCTTGTAAGGAAAGTCCTTGTCACTTCAAGCCTTGTAAACAAAGTTTTTTCGCCTTGTTTTCCAAGACATTTGTCATTTTTTAGTTAGCCTTTGGCATCATTTCCGACAAAAAATGTTAAATTTTAAACACGTTCCGAGCATTTTCTTTTATATTCACTTCGATTTCTGTTTTTGAACCCATTTTATAAATTTTTAATGTCCAAAAATGACTTTTTATGAAGTATGTGAATATGAAAAATGGTATCTATAACAACGCGAGCCCAACATGAGTCTTGGGGTTTTGTAAAGAAAGTTTTTGTTAATTTGTGACTTGTAAAGAAAGTTCCTGCAATTTTTTGTTCTGTAAAGAAAGTTCTTGTTATTGTGTGGTTTGTAAAGAAAGTTCTTGCTATTTTATGGTTTGTAAAGAAAGTTCTTGCTACTTAAAAGTCTGTAAAGAAAGTTCTTGCCATTTTTGGCTTTGTAAAGAAAGTTTTTGTTAATTTGTGACTTGTAAAGAAAGTTCCTGCAATTTTTTGTTCTGTAAAGAGTTCTTGCTACTTAAAAGTCTGTAAAGAAAGTTCTTGCTATTTTAACAGTTTTAAAGAAAGTTCTTGCCATTTTGTGTTTTGTAAAGAAATTTCTTGCCATTTTACCACTTGTAAAGAAAGTTCTTGCCATTTTGTCGTTTGTAAAGGAAGTTCTTGCCATTTTATTTTTGCAAAGAAAGTTCTTGCAATTTTACCACTTGTAAAGAAAGTTCTTGCCATTTTATGATCTGTAAAGAAAGTTCTTGCCATTTTACCACTTGTAAAGAAAGTTCTTGCCATTTTATCGTTTGTAAAGAAAGTTCTTGCAATTTTGTGCTTTGCAAAGAAAGTTCTTGCCATTTTATATTTTGTAAAGAAAGTTCTTGCCATTTTATATTTTGTAAAGAAAGTTCTCGCCACTTTATGTTTTGTAATGAAAGTTTGCCATTTTTTGCTTTGTAAAGAAAGTTGTTGCTATCATATGCTCTGTAAAGAAATTTATAGCCAATTCAAATTCTGTAAACAAAATTTCTGCACTTTTGCGGATTCATAAGAACATGGCGTTTCAAATTTCTCCGAAAAAAGATTCGCTCTTTTTTGGCTTATAATCACGTTTCCCAACGTTCCTCAATGTGCGTCATGCTCAGAAAAGGACTTCTGATTTGCTTTCCCTCTTATCTTTAAATTGTTTTACTGAATATCAGTTATAGGCATGGTTTTTTATATGGTTTGGTTTATTTTCGAGGGGGGGGTTATGATTTTAAATAACCTTGTGCTGGAAAGAAAGAGCAGGGTAGGATAGAATAGGGCAGGGCAAATAAAATTAGCAGGCTAGGGCAAGGCAAGGCAAGGCAAGGCAAGGCAAGGCAAGGCAAGGCAAGGCAAGGCAAGGCAAGGCAAGGCAAGGCAAGTTCAGGGTAGAGTTGGGTAGGCTCTGGGCTAAGGATCTTTGCTAGGGCTAAGGCTAAAGCTAAATTGTCTATAATTTGCTAGCTTCAAAGCTACATTTTATCCGTAAACAAAGTTTTTGCCATTCAAAAGCCAACAGGCAAGCTTTGCTCTATCAAAGAAAGTTTTAACGACCAATTTAATTTCGATTTCAAAGTTTGTTTAAGCCGCTGTAAAGAAATTAATGGGCGGAAAACGTCGGAAATTAGCGGTTTTTAGTGACAAGGAGAATATCTTAATCCCCAGATCTTTTGGGCTTGTTCAAATGACTAATAGACACTACTGGTTTGTCTTTTCTGGCCGCTTCTTGACATTTATCGGTTTGATTTCTTTGATTTGAGATTTTATAAAGATTAGGTCGTTAAAAAAAGGGAGCGGATTTTATTGCTTGTAAAGCAAGTTCTTGCCATTTTATGTCTTGTAAAGAAAGTTCTTGCAACCTTGTGCTTTGTAAAGAAATTTCTTGCTATTATATAGTTTGTAAAGAAAGTTCTTGCAACCTTGTGCTTTGTAAAGAAAGTAGTTGCTATTTTTCGATTTGTAAAGAAAGTTCTTGTTGTTTTGAGAATTGTAAACAAAATTTTGACAAAATTTTTAATTCTTTTGTTAGCCAGGAGTCTTATTTATTATATACCAAAAGTACTTCTGATTTGGTTAATTGTAAGAAAGTTATGACCATTTTCCTAACATGACCTACTCTAATATAAGCTTAAAGATTGCTCGTAAGCCTTTTTCTTAATATATTTAACAAATTTAAACCATATTTCTTTAACGTAAGATTATATTAAAATTTTTAAACCTTATCCTCTATGTTTAAACCATTTCCGAACAACAGGTGATCTTTAAAGTCTATCATTATATTATCTATCACATGCTCCACTCTAAATACTTTGATTATTGTTTTCACAAATTGAAAAAGTCCATCAGCCTAATATTGTTAAATTTTATGATCATTTGCCTTTTGTTTCAGGAAACACGAGATCTCCGTTAACGTTTTTTGATTTTTTTTTGAAAAAACATGTTGTTATTCATGTAGTATAACATAAATGATGGATTTTAAGTGTTTCGTAGTTTGTTTCTAAATAAAAATAGTTTTTTGATTTAAATGGTTGTTTTAATTTAGTTTGTCTTATTTTAATAGCTTGTTCAAGTTATATATCATTATTATCAATGGACATGTTTCATCGTATAACATGTCACCCGCGCGAACTGCGTCTCCACCAAACGTCTTTATTTTTTTTTCGCTTAAAAAATCGTCTTCACGTAAAAAAGAGCCGGGTTCTCTTTACTTATCACTACGTTTATCAGTTTTTAGGACCCACACTACATTAGTTGTTCACGAAATATTATCCATCTTTATCTGATTCTTTCGCTTTTTTTGCTGGAAAATTGTTTTTGTCAGGTGTTTGATGTATCATGTGGTTTTCCAGGCAAAGGACTGTTGTTTTTTGTTGCGCAGAACGTAAAATAGCCCCTTTACTATAAAATTTTTGAAAAGAAAGTGAAAACCAAGTGAAAACACAAGAAGTACGGGGGATATTGTAGTAGGTAGGATTGGGTCAGGTTGTTTTAGGTAAGAAACGGGCTTTGAACCGGGCGAAAAGAAGTGTGAGCTTGTTATTGATGGTGTTGTTTTAACGGGAACGTTTATTTATGATTTCGCTATTGTTTACTAGCAAGAGCGTTTACTTTTATATTATACTTGACAGGGCTTTGGGGATTTATAAATATTGGTGTTTTATCAACTCTTAAAGGTCAACTTTTATGGTTTTCCCTATCTAAAGTGTTTAAGGTTGTTCTAATTTCATTTCTAAATATATATTGTTGCTTATTTGTAGGGAAGCGTGTTGTTTTAACTACTATGAACATTAATATCATGAGTAATATCGTTTGTTTTAGAATTCATGTGTACTGAAGCGGGGGTGGCCTTAAAAAGTTGTAAGGTCGTCTGAAAACTTCTAGAAGTTCATTTGCTTGTCATTTTATTTTATTTTTTCAACGGGTAATCACAGACAGACTCCTAATGGGCGCGAGACAGTCATTTCAATCTGAGATCGCAGTAAGTTTCATTTTTTGTTGGTTTTTAGGTAACACACAATGAGAAATATGGCTTTAAATTGAAGATTAGAGTCTTTAAATTGTGTTTTGTTTAGTTTTTGGTATTATGCTTATAAGTACTGCTGGAAAATTGATTTGAAAGCATCAACATAAGCCTGATTATATTGCTCATGGCAAAATTTTGTTTTTGATTAAAATAAAATTTAATTTAAGTAATAATAAGTTGAAATACATAAACTACAAATAATCTTGATTGTTCAGCCTAGACAGCGTTCAAGTTCGTCGAGCGAAGAGTCTGCAGAACGAAGCCGACGACTTCAGAACGTTCGGAATGGAGAAAACTTTTCTGTAAGTGAAAGTTGATTTTATTCTTAACATTTTATATTTGTAAAGATGCAAAGGCTGGTATTTTAAAACAATTATTTATTAAACGAATTCTGAATTTACTAAACTTTACAATTCAAAGGCTTTTTATATTTTGTTTTAGGTGGTTTAAGCTTGGATTTTATATTGTTAAGGAATGATCTTCGAAAGGTATACAAACTTTCTTTTATGTTGCTTTAGCCGCTTGTTTTACTGATTTTTTAAAAGATTTTAAGTGTATATTTAAACATTTTTTTTTCAGACAGACTCAGACGATTTCGACGGTAATGATTTTGCTTCCTCTTCAGCTGCCGATCCCACCATGAGATACTCGTTTCGACCCGGCTCCAGAGTTTCTTTCCTACAGGCCTTAACGACCGGTATGAACAGCGCCCATTTGGCACACTCATCACATTCGGAAGGACGTGATCGACGGGCCGTGCCGGCTCTCAGGTTTTTAGGTAGGTTTTTGGATTTTAAATTAGTTTTTTGTAAAATACGAAAAGTAATTCAAGTTGACTTTTTTAAAAATATGTTTTTCAATAATTGGACAATTCTATTTGAGCAAATAAGGCAAAATGGTATTGATTTTTCACTGTGGTTGAAGGTTTTTAAAACTTCTTTGATTTCCATCAAGATTTCGTTGATGTATAAGGTCAAAACTCGTCGTTACCTCGAGTTTTTGTAAGATAAAAGCCCCAATAAGCAAGGTTGAAGAGTAGAAATGCCTAAAAAATGTTTTCATTAGTTACATTTGGAGGTATAAGTTTAGAAAAGTTAGGAAAATGTGATCTTATTGTAGACTCAAGACCAGAAATTGTAAAATAATTTTTTATTGGCTGCAGAATAAGTCTTTAAAAGCTTTAAAAATCGAATTAAGGGTTTTAAAATTGAATTAAACACTCAAAAAATATATTTTTTTGAAACTTACACTTGGAAACATAACAAAACTGATCTTGTCTATCCTCGAACCTCGATCCAAAAACAATTTTTTTCTCAATCTCCAGTTATTTTTTTGAAATCGGCGTTGTAGCCGTAGCAGTTCATATTCTTCATCGTTCTAAAAATGAATTTTTTAAAAGTATTTTTTCATTTCATACCTAAAAGAACTTAAAAATTCACATTTTGGTTGAAAAATTGAGTTTTTGGTGTACAAAAGGTTGCATTGAGGTTTTTAAGCTAAATTTTAGCTTATAATAGGTGTGTTAATTAAAAAAACATGTCTTTACCTCATACTGACTCTCCCCAGGATCTGTATAAACACATTTGAAGGTGAATATGCTGCGTAGAGAAAAGTTGAAGCGTAGCGAACGCATGAACAACTTCTTTTCCTGAAATTTATTAAATGATGAACAAGAAGACATAAAGTATGAATTAAAATGACAAAGAAGTTAAAATAAAGTAACAAGTTGAGAGTGAGAGAGAAAAAGAAAGAAAGAAAGTGATAAAGAAGGAAAATGCCTTACCTGATATGCAATAAACGCAAGTTCCACCGTAGAAGCGAAGATGAAGGCTATACAGGTGAACATAAAGTAGTCAATACTCTGAAAATAGTAAGTGAAAAACGAATTTTAAAAATAATTTTAAAAGAACACTATTACATGACAATATATTAGGTGCCGACATAAAGAACCCGCCATACTTTGCTTGTAATTTTCTGTAAAAAATGGCGGGTTCTTTGTGCCGGCACCTAATAAAATACTGTAATTACATAACAATACCCAAAAGACACTAATAAACCCAAGAAAACATTACAATCTCAAACCTACTTTAACATACGAAACCGGAGGCAAAGACCCAATAATATTGCCAAACTGTAAACACAATGACATCAACGTATTCACAGTCAAAATAACCCGTGCTGGGAGTGCTTTGAGTTCTATCACAAATGTTATGAACGATATGACCACGTATATATAGCTGGGAATGTAGATTTGAAGAATGTAAAAACCGTAACGACGTTTGAATTGAATATCAACCGTTAGACGGTACCATTCGCCTGCTTTGTAGTACTAAAATATATTTTATAAAGTTGGAATTATAAAAATGCGGTTTTTAATCTATAAACTATGATGAACTAGCACAAAACAGAATACACACTTACCTCAGTATGTTTGGCATGTTTTATACCAACAAACGCATAATCAGAAGCCGAAAACTCTGTAGTTGTTAGCGTGACTGCCGGCTCTAACCAGTCGATTTTTACTGTCGCTGTGTTATAACTATAGCTTTCAAGATCCCATGAACATACGATCTTATCCATAGGAAAATCACTGAGCTCGTATACACATGGGGCTTCTACTCGAACCTAAAACAGTGCAAGATATAACTGATAAAGTAAAAAACAATTTTAGAAAGTAAAAAAAGAGACCTATAATTGTACAACATAGGCCTAAAACAACAAAAAATAGACTTAAAAAGTAAAAAATAGCAAAAAAAAAGTAAAAGAAAAACAGCCCTAAGAAGGCAAAAAATAGGCCTAAAGCAATAAAAAATAAAGTGAAAGACTATGTCAATCCCAAAACTCACTCGATAATTAAGCCATACAGTACCATTCTGCATTAGCATGAGTAGTACGTTTGGTTTGGGTGAGGTATGAACTTTGGACACTTTTGAATTGACAATACACACGTTTGGCGACCAGATTCGGCTTTCGAATGTGTCGTCGAATGAAAGATTTTGTCGACAACTATCCAAATGCCCAAAGGCTAGTCGATCATCCTGCCACAGCGAACTGAACCATAAATCGGCAGTGAAACTGTTGGAGAGGACGGATAACTCGGATATATCTTGTACTGTAACTTCCACTTTTACTGGAACTGGCTTCTTTGATGGGCTTAGGCTTCTGGAAAGGTTAGGTTAGTTTGTTATTGTGGCTACTAATATTATGTTGTTGAAAAAATTCTGTGCTCCCTCTCAAAGCGAGTTTTCGGTGTTTATTGGTCAGAATTATTTGAACAACCTAGTATTGGTATAGATAAAATACGGGCTTAGAGTTTTTGGATTTCTGATATATTTAAAAGTTTAAATCCAAAAATATAAACCCACCGACTGTAGTTCTTCATAAGTGAGTTGATCAAGGCCTCGTGCGACACAACTCGAGGGCATTCTTCACTTTTGACTTGTTGTACTATAATGTGCAACAGCCAAAAGTGTATTAGCATTCTGAAGGGATCAGAAAACTTTTGTCCTAACTATTACAAGATAATTCGATATGAGCGAATTTGTAGGCATAATCAAACGGAGGTTGGTTAGTTTGTGTACTAATGACCTGAAATTGAAAATTTTGCAGTTGGGGATGTAAAGTCGCGAATAAAAACATGTATCAAGTCAATAAATAACAACAACAAGTGATTGAGAAACATAGCGTACTAAGAAGATGAGATTTCTAACGAGTCTGAGGAGCTAGGCGATCTTTAAAATACAGCAAAGTTATTTTTTGACTTCCAAGATTTTTCCAAAGAGACATTTCAATTCATTTGGATTAGGCCCACTGATTAATTAGTAATAAGATGACGCTATGAAAGCTTTCAACAGATTTTTGAACTATTGTTATTAGAAGCATGACAAAGATATTGCAAGTATGTCAATATAAAATAAGTTATAATAGAATTAAATGACTAGGAATTTAAAAGAGAATATAAATAAGTAAATACCAAAAAAAGTGGGAGAAAAAATTAAACGCTGAAGAAAGAAGAGGTCTTCAAACCTAAAAATGTCACAAGATTTTTTGCCGTAACCTAAAAAGGGAGGTTGTATTGACTTTTGCCCTCCGGTTGTGGCCGGTTCCACTCTAAAAACAAATTTCTAATGAATTAATAAATCCCAATCTTGTCATTTCCTGTGGCGCCTGTTGCAAACTAGTTTTACGCTGTTTGTTTTGGAGCTTTTGCCCTTTTCAAGGTCAAGTTTGTGGACGACGAACGGCCACTTGAGAGCTCGCAAAATTGGAACATTTTATAATTTACTCGAACATGACGGAATTTTAGAGTATTACTATAAGGTGAATGAGTGAAATGGGTAGTATGATAGCGTTACAAAGTGAAAGAGTGAAGTTGATTATTTTGGTTGATAATTTCTTAATTTTGGTCGATAATTCCGAGTATCAGAAAGGAAAGACAGAAAAAACTATATTGCATACGGCAAATAACATTGCTCATTTTTGCAGAAAAACAAAGACCTGACGGAGTAAGGGGAATGCATTAAAGGTGACGTTAAAGTACAGGTGACATTCGATAACAATAATGGTTCAAACCTCAATATAACAAATACATTTTAACTAAAAACCGCATGACTTTTAAGGTATGAAAGAATGAGAATTAAAGCCGATATTTGAAAAAAAAATAATTTACTTTGCTTTTAATGGCTTTTACAATTGTACAATAACAATACAAGACTGAAGAAATAACATAGACTTTTACAATGATACTAAACGATTAAACAAGCAACCATTGGCTTTAAAGCTATAATACTAATAGATGAATACTAATAGAAAATAAAAAAATAGAAGCAGATAACTCCAAGTACAAAACAATTACAACCCGTTGTTATAGACTATGGGATAACGTAACCACGTCGGAAAACAAGACCACAACACCACATCGAGTGTGAATATAATTGGTTTAGTCCAGTTCGAGAGCTGTGTTGTCCCGAAATGATGCTCTGTTGTCTCGAAATGATAAATAAACATGCGTTTTTTTTTGAAAATACCGAGTATCAGAAACGGATACGGGAAAGTTACGCCCTTGGGAATAGTTTAAATACTTTTTTGTTTACAAAAAATGAACTGATTGTACCGTGTAATCGGTATGCGCTCTTTAGAAGATGTGTGCTTTCCAGCGAGTAAGAGAGGGCTAACGCACAACTTGACTTAAGGTCACGTGGAACGTTTTGAAGTTGAAAAAATAGGATAGTATAAAGAAAGTTAATGTTTGCAAAATAACGTAGCATAAAGAAAATCAAAAGTAGCTAGGTCTAAACTAAGAAGACATGTTTTGAATGTTCTTGCTAGAACAAAACAAATCTCAAAATATCTAATAACCTAATGACTTTTGACTGAAACATTAACGCGAAACTGAAAATGCAGTTTTTGTGTCCTATCTGCGGCCAAATCTTTGCCCCGAACGTCATGAATGAAACGTAACATCGAGTACCATGAAATTAATTTTAGCCAACAAGATTAAAAACAACAAGAATAGGTTGAGAGAGTCTAACAAAAATAGGTTGAAGGCCCAAGAAGAATAAATTGAAAGCCCAACAAGAAGGTTGAAAGCAAATATAACAAAGGTGTTTTTACTTTTATTAGGTGGTTCAAATAATTCTGTGCTTTCTCTGAAAATAAATTTTTAGGGTTAGAGGACACAGAATTATTTGAACAACCTAATATAATACCTTAACGATGTAGTGTAGTAAAGTATCACAGTTAATAGCAAAGTTATGCTAAAACTTAAGAAATTTTAGGAGTTTTCAAAGAAAAGTAATTGAAAACAACAAAAAATAACACAATTGTATTGTGGACCATACAATTTTGTTGTTTTGAATCTTGCAACTACCCCCTTTCAAAGCTTTTCGAAGTTAAAGATCTTATAGTTTTTAATAGTTCGGTAAAGAATACACCATATTCTCTTAATAACGCATAAAAGCTAGATAAATTTCAAGAAATTTTTAATTACAAAGATTTCAAAAACACTAAAAAAGCCACCACAGACGTCTATAAAACAAAACGCATATGACATGCGATCTTAATGATATATTCAAAGACAAAGCTTTCTTGAAATAATTAAAAACAAGAACCAAATTCCGGCACAAACCTTTAATAAGAGTTTGGAAAAGACTGTGACAGTAATAAATTCGGATCAGTAACTATAATTAAGAAGGAGTATAATAATTGACTCAAAGAATAGTGTAAAAGTAATTTATTTGCGAAGGGAAAGTACTCTTACTGTGAAAATAAATAATTGTGTATAGTATCATAGGCTTATTACAACTAATAGGAGGATGAGATTGGTGTGTTAATAAGAAAAGTATTATAAGCCTGCTAATTACTATAATATATTAGTAACTTTATTATTTTAATTTGCAGGTTTATAATACTTTTCTTACTAACACACCAATAACTTCCCCTTATTAGTTGTAGTACGCCTCCTGATATTATGCAAAATTATTTTACCCTAAGATCTAATAATTATATTATTGTAGCTAGCAGGATTATAATATTTTCACTTTTTTGCGAAAAAAAACTATTGCCACATCATATAAACAAGAATACAATAGTAAATTATTGAATATTGTTAAACCCAGTCCCAAAAACAAATCTCGAGACTTTTTTCCGTCGGAATTCGTGGAGAAAAAACTTCCACGAAAAACGACCGGAAACAGGCTTTTAAAGTTTCCGGCTTCGAAAAGATGGTGGAGAACATACCACCAAGAGCCACTGTAATCAAAGTCAATTCTATTTTTTATATTGGCACCTTCACCTCACAATGTCTAGGCCCCGATTCTTTTGTTCTGGTAGGGCATAAAGGAAGGGAAACGACGTAATTGAAAGAAAAACTATAATAATTTGGGAATAACATGGTAAAGGAAAAGAATAGTAATGTAACGTGCGGAATGTTGGAAAGATTGAAATGGCTTTATATAGCAAAAGTTTTGTGTATTAGGTTGTTCAAGTGATTCTGTGCTCTTCTCAAAGCAAGTTTTTGTGCTTAGAAGGTACAGAAGTATTTGAAAAACCTAATAAGCCATTTTTACCTTCTGATTTTCCCTTGACCTTACAACACTGTTACTTTTACCACCTTTATTATGTTATCAGCAACTTATTATAGCTTTTGCTTTCAATTACTTCAGTTTCCTTCCTTTATGCTCCACCAGAACAAAACAATTGGGGCCTAGACATTGTGAGGCGGGTTGGAAGGTGCCAATGTAAAAAATAGAATTGACTTTGATTACAGTGGCTCTTGGTGGTCTGGTATCCAAATCATAGATAGAAATATCTTCAAAATTTAATTTAAAAAATTTTTGAAGATATTTTTAAATACTGAAGTTTTTGCAGTCAACTAGTAAAATAAAAACACCAGATATAAGGCATAGTTTCAATAAAAGAACCTAAAACAATATAAAAATTAATAAACATTAAAATATTTTTGAAAACTACGAAAAATCCAGCAAATACAGTAAAAATTCTACGGACAACAACCGATATTCTTGAAGAAAAACAAAAAATTTCCAAATTATTCTGCTCTAATTCGACTAAAACTGGTCTATCACTAATATCCACTAATTTCGTCTGATGCTATTGGCACGTTTTAATGAATGGTCACGTCAAACTGCTTTACTCTGTGTTGCTACGGCTATAAACGTGTTCAGACGAGCACCGAAACATGAAATTCAAGATGAATATGTTGGGGAGAGAGAAAGTAAAAGATTTTTTTGAGAATTGGGGGTTATTTTTTAAGAATTTGAGTTTAGTACGTGTAGTATCGTACTGGAAAGAGAGGAATATTGAACAATATATCAGTTGTGCCTTTGGGTCAAAAATCATGCGAAAACAACATCACTAATCATACAAACTATGTCAATTAGATTGCTCAATTAATTCTGTGCTCCCAACTCTGAGAATTTGCTTTGAGAGGGGGCTCAGAATTATTTGAACAACTTAATACTTTTAGCATATGATGAATAGTTTATGGCGTGGCATAGAAGTATAGAAGGCATAGTAACAAAGACCTAAAATACTGTAGTTTGGATAGAAAAACTTAACCATGAAAAGCTGCTGTTAGGGGGCACATTATTATTTGAACAACTTAATATATTTGATGCTTGATAACTTCATTTCACCTAAAATATTGTTGTAGTTTCAGGACGTGATGTGAAGTGTCCGGTGTGCCACAAACGCATCCCATCCGACGAAGCCGAAGTGCATTTGGTGATGTGCTTCACCCGGCCCAAAATCGCCTACAACGAAGACGTTTTGAGCGACGAAAAAGGCGAATGTGCCATTTGTTTGGAGGAAATGGACGTGGGACAGACGATCGCGCGCTTACCCTGCCTTTGCATATATCACAAAAAGTAAGGGTTTTTTAGTTTACTTCCTTCTATGGTACTATGGAGTACTGGTACTATGTAGTACTGATACTATATAGAATTTTACAGCTTTCAGAAGTGATTTTAAATTTTTGTCAGTATGGTACTATATAGTATTATTTTGCTTTTATTTGGGATTTCGATTTTTTATTATGGTACTATATAGTATTATACTGCTTTTTGGTATCAGTATGGTGATATGTGTTAAAATATGATTTTTTGTTAGTACTGTATGATTCTTATGCTTCTTTCAGTACCAATATTGTGATATGTGATATAAAAAGGCGTCAACGTGTTGTACTATATTGCATGATACTGCTTTTTAGCATCAGTGTGATGATTTTACTTCTTTTAGTATCATTTTGGTCTTATCTAGTGCGATGCTTCATATATTATTAGTACGATACTGTTTTATATTATTTAGTATCAGTATGATGCTATGTAGTACGATTTTTTAAATTTTTGACACTGCCCATTTTCAGATGCATCGACGACTGGTTCCGGCGCAAAAATTGTTGTCCCGAGCATCCTGGCGATGACTGAACGTCCTCCTCCCACACCGCACTCTCTCTCTCTCTTCCTTTTGTTTACATTGTTTTATCATCGTTTCGCACACTGATACATGTTGATGGTTGTGAATCGGAATACTATCGTATCCCACCGTTTGTACAAATAAATTGATCAGATTTGCATTTTTGTCGGAATTTTTTTTGGAAAAGTGGAAATTTTGGTTTAATACCTAAATTTGTACTGTAATGTTGGGGGTTTATTACCTAAATGTGTGCTGTAATATTGGGGGTTTAATACCTAAATGTGTACTGTAATTTTGAGGATTTTATACACAAGTGGGTACTGTAACGTTGGGGAGTTACTACCTAAATGTGTACTATCAGTTTTTTGGATTTTTTTGATAATTTTGACTTTAGTATAACCTCCGAAAATCGCTTTTTGACAAGATTATTTTATTTGAGAGGGGCACAGAATTAAGTGAACGACCTAATAGTAAAAAAACTTTATTCAAATATCACCGGAAATATGAGGAAACTTGACTACGAGTTTGGACTAATTCTTCGAAAATAAAATGGCAAGAACGATTATTCTAAAATATGAAAGTATAAAATGATCTTGTAGTAATGATAATATGGATCTGATAGCAGGCATAACATGAAGATTATATTAGGCATAATTTGGGTGTTCTAGGGGGCAGACTCTGTTTTACATTAGGTTTGGTGTGAATTGATAAATTGGGCTATTAGACTTAAAAAGGTGGACATATTGGTACATGAAAGGTGATATTGTACTTGGTGCTAAAGGATTAGAAGTCTGTAGTTAGCAGAAGAGACATTCACGGCTACTATAAGATGAACTTGCTAAAATGATAGCAATTATTAAGTTGTTCAAATAATTCAGTGCCCCCGCTCAAAGTAAATTTTCGTGGTCAGAGGGCACAGAATTATTTGAACAATTTAATAGACAAGATCTGTACGATTATGTTAGTTATGTTGTTTTCGCATGATCTTCGGCCCAAAGGCACAACTCATATATTGTTCAATGTTCCTCTCGTCCAGTATGATCCGACACGTACTGAACCCGTCGAATCCTTGTTGACATATGTCCTTCTGCGGACATATCACATCAGGGAAGCGGGTGTTGTTGTAGCCACAGTACATTGTGAGGAAATCTGAAGGAATTTTAATTTTTTTTGTTTTTTAAATGCCTAAAATGGGGGTTTTTGACTGAAAAATGAAAAAATGTTTTAGGCTTGATTTAACGCTAAAAATGAAAAAAAATTTCCGGCTAAGAAATGAAAAAATCTAGATTTTAGTAAAATACGTGTTTTCCACAGACCATAGGTTGAGGTAGAGGGCCCTATTGGTAAGTACAGTAAATACAACTTACTGTAACCACAATGTTTTTCCTTCGAATCCTCGTTCCATGTTCGACAACATGTTGGACAATCGTCGTCGGTTTTGCATGACCAAGCTGAAAAATTATCAAATAAAAAATTCGAAAAAAAATTTTTAAACCAAAAGGTAGGACTAGAACTGAAAAGGGTCCTACTTAGCCCGGCTTGGTTCTAGACTGAACCGGGCCAAAACTATTTTTAAAAGGTCTGACCGGGCTGTGCGGGCCGGAGGGCGGGATCTAAACAAAGGACCTCAGGTGCCCAAAACTTTCTTTACAAACTAAAAAATAACAAGAACTTCTTTACAAATCATAAAATGGCAAGAACTTTCTTTACAAATCTGAAAATAGCAATAACTTTCATTACAAAACAAAAAATGGAAAAAATTTGGTTTAAAAAGTAAAAAACAGCAAGAACTATCTTCACAAATCAAAAAATAAGGACCCCTTTACAAATCCAGAAAAAATCAAGTTTAATCATTTTTCAAAAAAAAATTTAAAGCGGAGGTAGTTACCACGCCCTGTTTTTGAATACGCAATTTGTAAACTTTGAAGGTGATAATGATGAAAAAACCAAAAAAAATATAAAACTCACGGCTCCGACAAGCTCCTTGATTCCCTCGTCCTCCATAGCGCTCACAAACCGTACGGTTGAATTTGTCATTAGCACAGTCACTGTCTACGTGACATAGTTGAACTGGGAGTTCATCTACAAGAGTAATTAGGTTGGGTTAAAAAAGTTTTTAAAGAGCGGGGAGGGGGTTTTCGATTTTAAAATTTTTTTAAAATTTTTTTTTGCCATTTTATAAAAACGTACCTTTAAAACTGTTGAGTTCGTTTTTCTCATCCGAATTTGGCTCTTGAATGGCTCTTTGGCCAAGTTTTCGCGGAATATCTTCTTCTTTTTCATTTTCTTCTTCTTCTTCCATTTCTTCTTCATCTAAATCTACTTTTTCTTCTTTCTTTTTTGTTTCTAAGGCTTTCTTAGGTTTATCTTCTGAAGCCTTTTCTTTCTTTTTCGTTCATAGTTTTGTGGTTATTTTTCTTCTTTTTTCTCTTTGTTGTTTTACCTTTTCTTCTTTGTTATCATCTTTTCCATGCTTAACAACGTCTTCTTTTTTTTGTTTGTCTTCAAAGGATATGTCGACTAACATTGTTGTTTCAAATCCTTCTTCTTCGTCTTTCTTATCCTTATTCTTGTTCTTGTTATCATTTTTATCTTTATTATCTATCTTCTTCTTGTTCTCTTTCTTCTCATCATCATCTGCCTTAAGCCCTATCTTGTTACTAACTTTTGATGGCTTCTTTGTTGTCTTATCAGTCGATTTATCAGGTTTTAATGCTGTATGAAGTTGAACTCTTTCATTTAGAGGCACTTTTTTTGTTTCAACTGGCATTTTTTCTAGTCCTTTTGATGATTTTTGGGCTTCATTTCTACCTTCTTTTGGCGCTTTTGGGCTTTCAGTTCTATCCTGAGGCTTTATACTGCCATTTCTATTTTTACCTCTTTCTTGGCCGCTTTTATGGCCGTTTTTGCGATCTATTTTGCCTTGATTTAGCCTATGACCATCCTTATTATCACCGATATTCTTTGACTTCTTTGGAGAACCACTTTCGTCGCTAGTCTCTAGGCTTTTCTTCGAACTATCTTCAATCTTTTCTAGCCCGTTTTTTAAGCTACTACTCTTCAAAGCCATGGCTACTGGCCTGGCTTCGGATGGGCTGGGTGTGGCGAATGATTGATCTAAATCCTCATTGTCCAAGGTCTCTAGTCCGGGCCGCTTTTTGGCTAATAAAGGACGTCGGTTTGGCTGAAACCCCAACTGTTGATTTTGTGTTCTTGAAAACCCCGACCGGTCGATTTGGGCTTGGTTTAACCGGTCGATTTGGGCTTGGCTTAGCCGCTGGTTTTGTCTTGAATTGAAGGTGTTACCTGACCTTGAAGTCAGTGTATTACCTGACCTTGAACTCAATGAATTATCTTGCCGTGGGTCTGTAGAAAACGCTGTAGTAAACGCTTCATTCGACGGCACATGGCTGGACTGTTCCAGTCCGGGCCTCCCCGCACGCCTCGACATTGTCGAGGTTGTAGTTGGGATTCTGGAGGCTGTGGTCGATCGAAGCGGATTTTGAGTTGTGGTGAAGGCTGGTCTAATTGTTGATCTAGAGAAGCTTGAGGTGGTCGACTTGCCATTGTTAATGGAATTCAAATTTCTGTTCACATTGGTAGCCATATTTCGTGGCAACGCCTGGCCAAAGAAGCTGGTCGAAGCTGGCGTGGCTGTCATGGCTGAGCCTCGAGTTGGAGCTAGCGTTGAACTTCTTGGAACTGATGTTATACTGTGTGTTCTTGAGCTAGAAGTTGGGGTTGCACTACTGAATCTTGAGTTCATGTTACGGTCGATCTCGCTAGCTGGTACTCTAGCCAATCCACGCCGAGTTGTTGCTGGAGTTGTGCTAACAAATTGCTGGTTTTGAGTTGATTGTCGAAGTTGCTGGCTCTGAAGTGGTCTTCTTTGACCACCTTGCACTTGTTGACCTGTTAGCTGAGTTTGTTGCTCTGGCTGAACCTTAAGTTCGTGAGTTATGGGGTCTTCCGTGATTTGAATACGATGCCCTCGGGTGTCAATTAAGGTGTGTATGACTTGAGGTTTTGCCGTGACTTGTTGCTGGCGTTGTTGCAAGTTTTGTCTTGGTGAGAAGTTACGATTTTGAGCAGTTTGCTGTCTTACTGTAGGTCTTACGATACTTAGCTGGCTTACTGTAGGTCTTATATTACTTAGCTGGCTTACTGTAGGTCTGACAGTTGACTGCTGGCCAACTATAGGCCTCATGGTAGTCTGTTGACCAAAGTTATTTACTCTTCTATTACTACCAACCGGCTGTAGCGTTGGTGGTATTGTCATTTGAGACCTGGAAGTCTGTCTTTGTACTGTTGGTATTCTTTGTGTAGTCGTCTGAGGTTGTACCGTACTCTGTTGCTGAAGAAAAGCTCTGTTTTGTTGTTGTCTATGCCTTGTTCTTGGGTTGAGAAGAGGTCTCTGGCCGATGGTGCTGGGCTGGGTTATAGTATTAACCTGTCTTGACTGAGTTATGCCTTGTTTTGGTATCACCGTACTTTGCCTATTATTAAATTGGCTTATGGTACTACTCTGGCCAAGATTACGGTTATTATTGGTACCAAGGGTTGGCATCGGAGTCGTAGTAACAAAAGTTTTGCTAGGCATGGTTGTTCTAACCAAACTATCTCGGAATGGAACTGACGTACTCAAGACACCTTGTCGTTGAAGTTGTTGGGTTCGCTGAAGTTGTCTTCGACCAGTATTCAACTGGTTTTGGTTCTGGAAACCTTGTTGTTGTCTCTGTTGAAAGCCTTGCTGATCTTGTCCAAAATTTTGATTTCGATTGCTGATTCTGGGTCCTTGGACAGGGTTTCTGAATCCTTGGTTTACGTTTTGTTGAAGCCTAGGTTGTTGTTGTTGAAGCCTAGGCTGTGGTTGATCAAATTCTGAACTTTGACGTGCATCTCCACTGAATTGAAGTTGAGAAGGGTTGGTTTGAAGCTGATTTGATGTCATTCTTTGCTGGTTTCCTACCATTCTTTGCTGATTAAAAGGCATTCTCGTAGTCGATTGTAGTCCTTGAGGTCGTGGAGTGTTAGTTATAAAATGATTTTGACTTTGTCGATTCTGAACTTGATTTTGCTGACGATCTACTCGGTCTTTACCTTGTTGATCTCTTTGGCGCAAAAATTGTCGGCTTTGAGGTCTGAACTGCTGATTTTGTGGCCTGAACTGCTGTTTCTGAAGCCTTTGATTCTCGAATTCTTGATTTTGAATTCGTTGATTCTGTAGCCGGTTTCCTCTTCTAGAATCTTGGAAGTTCATCCTTTGTTGTTGACCTTGAGGATCTCTGAACTTTCTGAATGAGGCTCGACTATCATGTTGTTGATCATCAATTGGAATCCAGCCTGATTGTTCATTCCAACTTCTTTGAAGACTTCTGAAAGAATTCTGGCTTCTGGAGCTTTGACTTCTCTGATTCTGATTTCTGAAGTTCTGGCTTCTTGGATTCTGGCTGGAGAACTCTTGGCTTCTAATATTCTGATTGTTAAAGCTTTGATCAGGATTCCAATCCCTTGAGTTCTGACTTCTGGAGCCCTGACTTCTCAGATTCTGACCTCTGAAGCTCTGGCTTCTCAGATTCAGTTGATCATCACGATGCTTTTGTCCTTGATTATGTTGTTCTAGTATGTTCTGTATGGCTTGAAATTCATCTTCATCTAGTTGGCTTGACAAGGCATTGTTATTCAATCGATCTCGAGGGTCAAATCGACCGTTTTGGCGGTTGAATTGATTTCTTTCTCGATCGAATTGGTCCGAGCGGCTAAATTGATCAGGTCGACTAAATTGGGCTTCTGGTAGATTAAATTGGCTTTCTGGTTGTCTTTGATCTCCTCGATTATTCAAATTAGAATCTCGATTAATAAAGGCCTTTTGTTCATTCATTATCCGTCTTCGACTATCTACACCATGACGAGTGCTCAAGTCTCTATCACTATTCTGAAACGGGAACTCTTGACTATCTCGTTGCCATGGTCTTCTGCCGTTTTTAAATTGACGTTGACTTTCAGGACGTTGGTCAAGGTCTTCATTTTGTAGCTCTTCATCTTGAAATTGCTCTTTCTGCACTTTGAAGCCAGGTTTTGGCTTCAAAACTGGTCGAATCTCTTGGTTTAGGTCGATTTCCGTCTTCTGAGAGCTGGCCGGCACTTCGGTTTGGCCAGAAATGGGCATAGGTGTTGTTGTAAATTGGTGTTTTGGCCATGCTTGATGGATTTGGGCCTATAATGAGTTTGAATTTTAAATATGGTTGAATATGGTACCCCCTGTGAATTTTTTTCAAATTTAAAAAATTTTTTTATTTTTTTGTGATTTTACCCCTTTCCTTACCAATCCATACCAAAATTACCCTACTAGAACAGTAAAAACCATAACTTTGCGATTTCATTTTGGGTCCCACCACGAAAACTTTCATCGTAATAAATATTGTTGTTTTTTGTCCAATACTGAAAAATAAGGTGTTCCAAACCTACCTCAACACGTTTCAACTGTTCTCTTTCAATGTCCAAAGCTGAGCTCGATACTGGATCTTGTTGTCGTACTGGATTGTTCAGTTGATGTAGAATGTCAGCTACATCCTCTACATCGCTGGTATCTCTGTCCAATAATACTGAACTGGCCAAGGAGGATAGTGCCGATAGTAAGAGGATGTAGGGCAACCACCCACGATTGGTCATTACTGTAAAGTGAGGTATATTAATATTCATCCTATAACTTGTCACCCGCAGGCTGCACAACACCAAATATGGTTCATTTGAATAGAATTGGCAAGAAATTTCTTTAAAAACTATAAAATGGAAAGGACTTTCTTTACAAATCAAAAAATGGCAACAACTTTATTTACAAAACATAAAATGGCAAGAACTTTCTTTTCAAAGCAAATACTTGCAGAAACTTTCTTTACAAAGCAAAAATTGACAACAACTTTCTTTACAAAATTTAAACCTGGGCCTAGCCATTCCGGTTCAAAACCACATTATGTTATACAGTGAAAAACACTCGAACGACCTTGCACTCCTTTTCATTGAGGAAAGAAAGTGAAAAAAGTAACAACATCAAAAAAGTTTTGTAGTATTAACAAGTGTGAAATTGCTTTGACAAGATCACACTATGACTTTTTTGAAAAATATGAAGTCAAGACAAACTCTAAGTTTGAGGGAATGTACAGTAACCAAGTCGCCCTACATTGTCATACTACCCTACCCTACCCTACCCTACCCTACCCTACCCTACCCTACCCTACCCTACCCTACCCTACCCTACCCTACCCTACCCTACCCTACCCTACTCACTTTACTACCCTAAAGGTAACAATATTTCAAAATTCGAAAAAATTTAAACCTTTATTAACTTTTATTAAAGCACTATGACACTTTGAACCCGACCCGCTAACACTGATTTAAACCGTCTCCCAATCTCGACTTTAAACGTGCCAAAATCTCGACAAAAACTTATAAAAAAGTGGGCGGAGCTCAGATGATAATATTGTTTTTTATACCGATAAAACCGTAGTAACATACGACGATACGAACACCGTAGGACATGTTACTAACAAAAGATGGGTTTGATCGGATTAAAACAAGCAAGCGTTCCATATTCGAACGCCAGAAATTCGTTTTTTTTCGCAAAAACTGGAATTTGAATAAGGTCATAATGCAGTCGTTTTTTGCAAATATTCTACATTAAAATGGAGTTTTGAGAAAAGAAAAGAAAAATATTGTTTCAAGGGATGAAGTATACAATAACGTCTGCAAAAATGCAAAATCTTTCTTTACAAAAGATGAAATGGCAAGAACTTTCTTTACAAAGCATAAAATGGAAAGAACTTTCTTTACAGAAGAAAAATGGCAAGAACTTTCTTTACAAAACAAAAAATGGCAAGAACTTTCTTTACAGAACGTAAAATGGCGAGAACTTTCTTTACAAGCTTAAAATGGCATTTATCGTATAAATTGTCACTACAACGCAAAATGTGCTTATTTTGAATAGAATTATTAAGAAATTTTTTTGCGAATCATAAAGCGGCAGATTTTTCTTTACAAAACCTAAAATTGCAATAACTTTCTTTACAGATCATAAAATGGCAATAACTTTAATTACTTTTGCTAAAGTGGCATTCATCGTATAACTTATCACTCGCAGGCTGCACAACGCAAAAACAGCTTATTTTGAATAGAAATTGCAAGAACGTTCTGTACGACGCAGGGGATGGCAAGGACTTCTTTTACAAATTATGAAATGGCCAGAACTTTGTTTACAAATCATAAAATGGCAAGAACTTTTTTTACAAATTCTAAATGTTAAAAATTTTGAGAAATTGGCAAAACTTTAGTTCCAAATTTCGAAATTACAAAAAGTCTACAAAAGTTTGTCACAAAAACCGTATTCCGACAAAAAACCAAACTTGTCACAATGATGACATAAGACGTTGGCGGAAAAAACAAACATGACGTTTTAACCTTGAGAAATGTTTTCACTTATTCATAGTAGTATTGTAAATCTACTGTGACAAGTTTTGTCAAAAGGTCATGACATTAGCAAGCATTTATTATGTTTTGGCAGTGCAAAAACTTTATTTACAGATTATTTTATCAACTTTTTAAAATATTACAATTTTTGAAAAGTAAGGTCAAAATAGCAAGAACTTTCTTTACAAACGATAAAATGGCGAGAACTTTGTTTACAAAGCATAAAATGGCAAAAAATTTCTTTCCGAAACCTAAAATTGCAAGAACTTTCTTTACAAACTCAAACATTGCAAGAACTTTCTTTACAAACTCAAAAATTGCAAGAACTTTCTTTACAAATCTTAACTTTCATTTTACTTTTGGTTCTCACCACGAAAACTTTTAATTCATCAAAAATTTAATTTTAAGCCATAATCATATAAATACCTTCAATAAATTTATAAAAAAGAAACTTACAGTTCCTCGTAGCCTTCCTTTTCCCTCCAAGGAGACTATAGTAACCTTGTAACATAGATAGCCGAAACGAACATATTACCCTTGTTTTATGAGTGAAAGTAGAACAAAATAAATAAATAACCACGAAAAACGTGTTTTTCTCGACGTAACACATTCAGAATTTGTCGAAAATTGTTGCAAATGTTTGTATATTGTAATAGTTTTGTACTTTTACTAAACTATATTAATCATCATGGACAATATAAGCTGAGAGGCTTAAAAATGCCATAACTTATTTGATAGTTGTCCAACTTACATCAAAGATAAAACAGATATGCTTGTATCATGCGTAAAAAGTGTAAAAACTTATAGATTTAAAAATAATTCAATATTTTTATTATAATCTATAATCATCATGAACAATATAAGCTTGGGCACCTCAAAATGCCATAACTTATTTGGTAGTTGTCCAAAACGGGTCAAAATTTGAAAAAAAAACATTTCTGTACCAAGTGTAAAAGGTGTACCAAATTTCACGGTTTAAAGTTACGAAATTTCATAACTTTTTTGCTAGATGTCAAAATTATCTCAAATTATTTACACGTTATAATTATACTAAACATAACAAGCGTGCCAAGTTTCAAATTTTAAGTTGCACTTTTAAAAATTCGAATTTCCCGCCAAATTGGCCTTTTGTTTATTTTGTTTTTTATCCAAATTTTAATTAAAAGAATACCACCCCTTTATCTACCGTCATTTACACCAAAAACCCTTTTTTTAAATTAACCAAAATTAGTTTCTTGCAACACAATGCCAAACCCGCAAAATTTAAAAAATTTTTCAAAATTTCAAAAATGTTTCATAATTTTTTTAAATTCAAAAAAAGAACTTATTATACAGCACAATATTATTTATTGACATTATACTAATATAATAAGGTAGAAGTAGTCTATTAACTGAACTTGGGGGTTGGTAAAGCTACAGTAACTTATTCAAGTAAACTCTTTTAAAAACAATTCTAAAATACGAAAAAAAAACAAATAAAAATACAAACAAATATGATTGCAAATTCAAATCTTGCACAATCTTTCCCAATGTTAAAACGAGTCTTCAATTCCCAACCTTTAAAAAGCCAAAAAATATTACTGCAGTCTGCAGACAACAAAACTGTACCGGTCGCAGGCTGCAGCTAATAAAACAGAACTAAAACATGCAACAAAAAAATCAAAAATATAAGTAACAACTAAACAACTATATGAATATATGAGAGGGTAGTTAAGGTACAGTATAAAAGTTAGAGTACGGTAGAAAAGTTAAGATACGGTAGTTATATTACAAGCATCAGAGATTACTGTAGTTTAAAATTTCAATTATCAGACATATGTGAGGATCATTAGAAGGCACTAAAAAAACAATAGCTTTGGAAATTGATGCAAAAAGAATGGCGCGTAATTATAATTTACTATATTTTAAATGAACGGTCCAAAAGTCCGTAGAATCATCAAAAAATCAGCTCAAAAGGTAGCAATACCTCAATTTTTAAATTTTCTACAAACTTTTAGACCATAATTTAAAATTTTAAACCCAAAAACAAATTTTCGAAACTTCAATTCACGCCACTCTTTTCGCATCAGTCGATATCTGAACATATACTCGTCTTAGGTGTACTCGTAAGTGACCTGCACTCCGATGGTGCTGCAGTCTCTACAGTCGCAGTAGAAATGGTCAAAGTTAATGTTGGGACAGTCCAGGAGGACCTTCCATCGTGGGCACGACTTCTCAATTTGGATCGATGTGAGCACGTCTTGACTGTCTGGAACATCAAAAATTATATAACTGTAAGGTAAAGTTTAGTGATAAGCATACGGTAGGGTAGAGTAGACATAACCTCACTATAGGGCGAAGCAAAAAAGAGTTATCGTAGAACACAGTATAGTTAAGTAAAAATGCATTATAGAAAAACATAGTATGATTACATTATGACATGATATAATAGGTAAAGGGCTGGGCAAAGTATAGATCAATATGGCAAGGCAAGGGTATGGCTAGAGTATGGGTAACGACTGAGGATAGGAGTAAAGATAAGAGTAAGGGTAAGGGATAAGGAATAAGGGATAAGTAGGGGTAGGGGTAAGAGTACGGGAAAAGGTAAGGGTAAAAATAAGGTTAAGAGTAAGGGTAGGGGTAAGAGTAGGAATAAGAGAAATAGTAAAGATAATGGTACAGCAAACGTAGAACATAAATGTAAAGATAAAATTTCATACCCTCAGGGCAAGTACATCCCTAATAACCGCTTTATATACCTAAAAACTTTCAAAACCCCATGCCTTAATAAAATATTGACGCCGACATAAAGAACCCGCCATTTTTTACAAAACATTACAAGAAAAAATATGGCGGGTTATTTATGTCGGCACTTGATATTAACTTACAAACTTGTTTGTCATGCGAATTCAATTTGAAAATCAGTGGGAAATTGTTGGCAATTCGAATGAAATCGGCTCTGAAATGATACAACGTCAATATCAAACATTATACTGGCTATAACAACTGCTTATAGCACTTAACTTATACTTCATATTAACCTACCATGATATACGACATATTATACAAGCCTATTACAATGTATAAAATACCTAAATCAACCACTTTCTAACCTCAAAACTATAAACTCAATATAAAAACATACGCATTGACCTGTTCATCCAGAAAGTCCGACTTGTCATCCAAACAAATGTCAGTTCTGTCCATCAACAAGCTCAACTGTTGTTCTCCGAACGACGATAGAACCCGGAACAAATTCGATGGAAGACCCGGAGGCAGGCTCCACAATTCCACATCAACGACGGCTTGTAGGGCACGATAGATCGTGCCGTTCGGGCGTTTTTCGGCCGTGATCAGACCTCGGCGCACGCATTCGGCCAGAGATGAGATGGTGGTTTGGACGCCCAACTTGAATGGAGAGCCACGCTTCTGAAGTTGTCGCTCGAAGCCTCTCAACTCGTTCAGGTCACAGCCGTTCGGGTAGACGTGGTGCAAGAATTGGATCAGGTTGATGATGGTGGCGTGGTAGTCTTTGGTGTTCAGGTACTTGAGAAGTGTTGAGTTTGTTGGAGTTTCGTACAATCGACTGAAAAAAGCATTGTTTAGTACGATAATGTAGAATAGAGCAAGATAGAATAGGGTAAGATAAGGTAGGGTACAATAGAGCTTAATAGGGTAGGATAGGGTAAAGCAAAGTAGAGTACAGTGAAGTGAGGCTAGAACAAGATAGTTTATGTATAGGGCATGGCTGGAGTAAAAGTTAAAAAAATAGAGTATGGTAGGGTAGGGTATGGCAAGGTAGAATAGGATAGGATAGGGTAGAGTAAGGCAGGATATGACTAGGGTTAAGGTAGGTAAGTTTTCAGTAAAGATCAAATAGAGTAAGGTAGGGCGGGGCCACAGTAAAGGTAAGGCAAAGATAAGGTAAGACTGAAGTAGAAGTATAGATGTATAAGGTAGGGCATGGCTAGGTAAAAGTATTTATATTTTCCACATCTACTCTACCTATCGCGTCCTCCCCAACTCCTGTTTTAAACCCCGCCCTCAAAACTTTTTTTTTACACCCCGCCCTCAAAAATTTTTTTACCCCGCCCTTCAAATTTTTTTCCACCTCGCCCTCCAAAAATTTTTTTTAATTTGAAAACCATGTTTTCCTCATCTACCCTACCTTTCGTCCTCCCTACCCCTCTTTCCGAAAACATTTTTCTCTACCCCGCCCACCAAACTTTCTTCCACCCCGTCCACAAAAATTTATTTTTTATCCCGCCCTCCAACAATTCTTCAAATCTCCCCTAAACCCACTCCCATTTAACTTACGTTGTCCGTTTCTTGAAAGGAATCAACTTCTGACTTCGGTACGCATTCACTTCAGCACTGTTCTTCACCGAATGATGGCGGTTGGAGTAGAACAGGCTGGCGTGATCAATTTTTAATGAAGCCAAGGCTTCGTCAAAGCCTCTGTTAGCTTCATTCACGGCTTCTTGCTCCTCCACGGTGTAGCTTTTGAAGGTTTCATCCAGGTCTCGAGGTTGATTGAGACGAGAGTACGATGTGGCGTTCTGCTGTGAGTACGATGTGGCGTTGTGCTGTGAATACGACGTCCTGTCTTGCTGTAAATACAACGTGCCGTTCTTCTGTGCATTATATGCTTCGCTTTGCTGTGAGTACGATGAGTCGTGCCGTTGTGAACGATACTCGCTGGGTACGACCGACTCCCATGGATTCTTCTTTTTGGGCTTCTGAAATTCAAATTCGGCTTCGAATTGAGAGTCGAATTCGGAATGGGGCTGACGATCAGAGTTGTAGTCGAATTCTGGCACTTCATCTGGTTTGGGGAATGGAAGTTGGCCGGTCATTCTCATGTCCTCGACCAGGCAGTCTGGAGGCTCTTCCACGCATGGAAGCTCCTAAAAGCGAGAATACTTTCTTTACAAGAAATGACAGGAACTTTCTTTACAAAACAAAAATGACAGGAACTTTCTTTACAAATCAGAAACTGGCAAGAACTTCCTTTACATATTAAAAAATGGCAAAAACTTTCTTTACAAAACATAAAAGAGCAACAACTTTCTTCGAAATAAAAAAACCTTCAACGTATAAATTGTCACCATTTGCAACCTGCAAGACGAATATTTACACTCACTTTTCAAAAATAGCAATAACTTTCTTTACAAATCAGAAAATGGCAAGAATTTTCTTTACAAACTATGAAAAAATAAAGATTTTTTTCAAAACTTCAAAAAATAACAAAAACTTTCTTTACAAGTCAGAAACTTTAAAAAAATATATGAAACAAAAAACAGCAAGAACTTTCTTTCCAATTTTTATACAACAAAATAATCTTTAACCGCCCATGCCCAGAGTATTTTTAACCGCCCATGCCCAGAGCATTTTTAATCACTCAGCCAAACTTTTACATTATCATTTAGATACTTAGTTTATCATTAGCCCAAGTTAACCTTTAACACATTTTTAACAATACCAAAGCCGAGAAACTAGCATCAGAACTTTAATCAATGTCTAACGGGCTGTAACGAGATCGTATGACAATTATTATATTATATTCAAACTCTGGACCTTTCGGTTTGCGCCATCGAAACTAAAACGTGGTGGAAGCGGCCCATCATAGTTTGTGCGTCGAAAAAGTCCTAAAATACGCCTCATAGTTAGTGGTCCCGGTCTTTTATGTACAAAAATATTAATTTTGAATTATATTTCTATATAAATATCGCCTTTTGTCTTTGATTTACATTAATATAAGCCCCTTATAACTAATGGAAGACATTCTTGTCCTACTACAACATACTTTCAGATTTTCGTGACATTTTTAGTTTGTATAGAAAGTTCTTGCGATTTTTTGGTTTGTAAAGAAAGTTCTTGCCATTTTTTGATTTGTAACGAAAGTTTTTGTCATTTCAAGCTCTGTAAAGAAAGTTCTAGCCAATTCTACCCAAAATAACCTTATTTTATGTTATGCAGCCTGCGAGTGACAAGTTATATGATGAATGCCACTTTTGCTATTGTAAAGAAAGTTTTTGCCATTTTAAACTCTGTAAAAAAACAACTGCGACTTTATAGCATAAGCAAACAGCTTTCTAGTAGTTTTTCCCTCTGTAAAGAAAGTTCTTGCGACCTAACCTTTCATCTGCCTTTTACACTTTTTAATACCTCGTTACACCTTTTCCTGACCTTTTATACCTTCAAAAACACTTTATACCCATAAATTAAAAACTTGTAAAGAAAGTTCTTGCCATTTCTGCTCTTTATAATGATTTTCCTTTGCTATATTACCTAAAATTCTCACCAAATGTGCCAAAAAACCTCCCCTCCCCCAAAAATTCTCTTCAAAATGCAAAAAAAACATATAATAATATAAAAGTGCAATTTAAAATCGAACTTACTTCATAACCCATAGTCTTGACTTGGTCCAAGAAGTTCTCTGCAGTTCTCTTGAGTTCGGCATCTGATACCTACAATAATGTCATTATAACAGTATTAAGTTGTATAAAAAATGTTGAGCTACTTAACTGAACCTCAGAAAAAATAGTAGGTTGTTCGAATAATTCTGCGCCCCCTAATCCTCAAAAATTTGTTTTGAAAGAGGCTCAAAATTATTTGAACAAAATCATATGAAATTTTTAAAAACTTTACTTTTCGAAAATTTTAAGTTCCCGAATAAGACTAAAGTTAGAAATAATCAACATAAACCTATTAAAATGTTTTAAATAGAATAAAAATAAAATCTTAAGACATACATCTCCATCCAAATTGTTGTAGCTTGCAGGTGGATGGGTAACAAAAGGAGACTCGCCGCGTTGACTTCTAAAGTAAAGATAAACATTAAAGTATTAACGAACTAGTTACTAAACAACATTTTTCCAATTTATAACACTAATTTTAACAAATTTCTTAAAAAAAACAAAGAAAAAATTTTAAAAAATAAGGTTACAGAAGAGTTACTGTAACTCAAGTAAAATTTGAAATTTCAAAAATTTTCGAAAGCAATTTTATCTGCCATAGAATGGGCAACACTTTCCTCAAACTTCAATCATTTAGCTACATTATCTCAAAAGTTATGCCAAAAAATTCAAAAAAGGTTAAAATTTTCGGCAAAAAATCAAGTTTTTTAAAGTTCAATCAAGGTTAAACCATAAAAACTAAACCTACTCATAGCCATTTAAATTTCCCATAGCCGGAGAACCATTTGCAGCATAGTTTCCATTCACTCGTCCTCCATTATAGTTGTTAGCAGCCAAAGAAGAGGCTCTAGAACTTCTTTCCGACCCGACCACGGAATTGAAGCCTGGTGGCGGCTGAACAATCGGTGCCGAATCTGCATGTTGCCCGTTAGCCAATGGAGTACCAATTGGAGCCGGTGCGCCATTGCTGGGCATTGATTTCCCATTCGCTGCACCAGCAATCTGACGTCCACCCAAAGTTTCGCGTTTTATGAATCCGGGCATCTCTGGATCCATAACATATGAATACATGTTTGGACGCAAATCATCGATCACCTTTCTGAGAGTTAGTTCTGGGTTGACAAGTGCCAATTGCTCCTAAAAATTATAAATAATTTTTAAAAGAAAAATCTAAGTTTGAACACAAAACAAAAGCCTGTAAAAAAATACATCAAAAACATCCTTTTTAGCGTTCTTCAGTCTCTTACTCATCTTGAGAAAGCAAAAACAAAAAAATGTTTTGCCAAATTTAAGGTTAAATACACAAAACCTCTTATTATCCCAATAGACCTCTACTATAACATCAATTTTGCCTTGCTTTGCCCCAAATTATGTAACTTCAAAAAACAAAATTCATTCACAATATAAAACACGTTATTCTCGTTGTTTTAACACCTAAACTTCAAGAAATAACTAGGAAATAACTCACCATGAGGTCTTGTCCTGATTGATCCTTATAAAGCTGCTTGATTTTCTGCTCTTGAAGAAAGAATTCGTGCTCATTTTCATCCAATATAATTTGTAAATCAACTTTAAGCTGAAAACATTAAAATTTAGTTTTTCCTGATCATTTTCGGGTAATTTCTGGCATGTTAATCAATAAAAGCGAATTTAATAACAAACTTACAAAGTTGATAATCCGTAACTTTGTCTTGTCCATTGTGAGTAAACTAAAGAATCTGAAACTAAAGAAAAGTCAATATGAACATGATTCACGAACATAACACGAAGCTTAGCGAAGGAAATTATAATAAGATCGGATGACGCCTAGAATTCTTTTGAGGAAAAAGAAAATTCGAAACAAAAACACTTTCGCTGATAAAAATGTATAAAAAGGCATTGCAGTTTGTGTAAGCTCGAGCGCAGCTTGCGTTAAATTATATTTGGTAAAGTAACTTTACAAAATATTATTGAAAGTCCTAACTTTGTAAGGATGAGTGAGGTACCAAAAAAGAAATTGACGGAGGAGGAGCGGGCTGAGCTATGTCAGAAGCTAGACGACGATTTGGACCGATACATGGAGGAGTTGGCCGAAAAAAGCGTGAGTTTCTTTTATATTGTTTTAGTTTCTGTGTTTAGAAGGCCAAGAACGAAAAGAAGGAACCGTTTGATTTGGACAAAGTGTTGGCAGAGCTAGATCAGCATCCATTCTTTATGAAGGATTTGAAAGCTGGAGCTGACGGACAATATTCAGCACAAGTGCAGGCTTTACAGGTATGGTGGAATTTGCGATGATATTTGAGGGATAAAATGTTGTTTTTTGGTTTCATGAGGAGGTTATCATATTGGTTGATCTATTTTTAACAATTTTGGAGCGCATTACGTTTTTTTCTTATAGGTTTGTTAATTTTATATTATCTTTGACGTCATATGTGCAGCGGAACAGGATACATCGTTTTTACTTGTTCTTTAAGCAATTTTTAAGGGTTCATCACTTACATTACATCAAATAGAGTGTATAAATACTTTTAAACTTAAAAAATCACAATTAACTTTGCAACTTGATTTCCAGGCATTAAAATTCGATGATGAAGACTCAGCCGAAGACGCTCTTTACGACGCAAAGAAGGCAAAAGAGGAAGGAAACAAGTTTTTTGGTCTAAAGAAGTACCGATGGGCCATAGAACAGTACTCGAAGGGTATCAAAGCCTTCTGTCAAGATGCCGAGCTCAATTCTATGCTTTATGGCAATCGTTCGGCCGCCAACAAGTATCTCGGCAATATGAAGAGCTGTGCCAAGGATAGCTTGTTCTCCTGGAAGTTCAATCCACGGAATTTGAAGGCAGCGTTGAGAGGTATTGAAGCATTTTGTGATTTGGGATATGCTACAAAGTCGTTGGAGTTTGCTGATAAGGTTGAGAAGACGTTGGAGAAGGTCGAGGCGGAGGAGAAGACGTTAGATGAGGAGAAATGGAACAAGTTTAAGGAGGATTTGGGTAAATTAAAGAAGAAGGCTAAAGAAAGGAAGGTGAAGGAGGAAAGAGATGTTCGGAAGAGGACTGCTGAGGTGAGTGATAATGAAAAATTGAAAAAATAGAGGTTTCGTCACGGGTAATATAAATTTTATAATGGATAATCTGCGTTTTATTATTGTTATGGAGAAAAATAGAGGTTTTATCAAGGGTAACATACGTTTTATCAAAGATAACATACGTTTCATCATGGATAATATGATTTAAAACATGAATAACATCGCTTATTGTTGAATTACGTATAACATTTACAGGAGAAACGAATATCAGAAGAGAAGAAGAACTTGTTGAGTTTATTCGAATGGAGAGGTCTTAGCTTCAAGCCCCCAATTGATTACAGAAATCCAGAAGAACTCGATTTCAATGATCTCTGCATACGATCACCGTATACAAAGGTAAGAGTGGGTTGGTAAAATACGCCGTCTAACGCGTCTAGTCTTGTTCGTTTACTAATACAGGGTTTTAAACAGGCTTTTTTTAGGAAATTCTTCAAGAACGAGTGTACATTGACAAAGAAACCAATGGTTTAATGTGGCCCATTCTACTACAATATGTTGGAGCTGGCCAAACAGATATGATCAAGGATTCTCATGAAGATTTGTTGTTAAGTCGACTACTAAAACCAGTTTTTTCTTCTCCAGCACCATGGGACAGTGACGAATGGAATTATAGGAAGTAAGGCGATTTTGTTTTAGGCATCGCCATTAGTGAGGGGGGTTTGGGAAAAAGAAGATTTTTGAAAAAGTAGTTGATGGATTGCCTTGAAATTTGGTTTGAACAATGATAAAAGACTATTTATTGCTGGCGGTTTTTTTCATTAAATTAATGCAAAAGTAAACCCAATAATGTAAAGAATGTGTCATACGGTAGCTTGCTGAAGAAGTACAGAATATTTACGTAGAAATAATTTATCATAATGTACTTTTTCTTGCCAAATAAGGCCTTTTTCCTATCATAATATACATTTTTCCTCAATTCTAAATTTTTTTCTATTTCAGAGACAATGTTCGACTATTGTTGCCATTGGACGTGTTTGATGATGAACAACTTCTTGAAGTAGACATGGATCAATCACTAAAAGATTTGCTTTCATCCACAGATTATACCATTCTTCAAGGTCTACCCATCATCCAGGTATACCTAAAAGAGAAGGTTGAACAAGAGTTGGAGTATTTGGGCAAGAATAGGTTTAGACCAAAGTAATGGAAGTCTATATACTGGCCTTCAGGGGTCTTTATGTTGTTTTAAAGTGATCTATACGGTGTTCTACAGTGATTTACAGGGTGTAATAATTCTATTACATCGTATTTTAGTTACATTTTGTTAATTTGTGTTATGAATTGTTTACTTTGATATATTGTGTGGTATATGTACTGTTATTCGGTGTTGTCAGTCTTTTTTAGTATTTTAACTGATACTAAGGAAGTTTTGGTCAAATTGTTGTCACTTCTGCATTACTTGTTAAGTTTGAAGTTTTGAGATTGTTAAATTTGCTAAATAAACATGATTTTGAATTGTTTTGGGGTTGTTATAAGGGCATATTGTCTTATCTTTGAAAATATTGTTTGATGCGAAAAAATGGCGTGTTTCCTTACGAATTGTGTGTTTTTTAACCTTGAATGTGCTTTCGAAAATGTTTTTTTAAACTAGAGTTTAGACTAGAGCTTTTCCTACAACTATGGCTAGGACCTAAGCTAGGCTAGAGCTTAGCCCAGAGATCAAGGCTAGAGCTTAGACTTGGCTATGGCGCTAAAACTATGCCTAAAGCGAATGCTAGGACTATGTTAGGCTTTCTTATTCCTTGAGTTTAACCCAATCATCTTTTCTTTAGCCCTACCTGTGCAGGCTTCTGTAGTGTGGCCATATCCCTAGCCACACTACAATAGCTTGCACTTAATGTTGGTTTTCATATTTTTTTTAGTTTTTGATGGAAATGAAAAAAGTTGATTTCATTTCGTACGAAAATTGTAAAAATGTCTGGTCCTAGTAAGGAGGCTTTTGCTAAACTGGTAAGTTATTTACCTTTTAGGTTGTAATACGGCAGTTTGATTCATTATTTGTCATTTTTTGGCATTGCCTTGTTTTCAAAAAAAATTTTAGTGAAGGTTTCTATGTTTACTCATCTCACATATTACTCTTCCAGCACACCGAAAACAAAAAGCTTCTGAAACAAGAGACTCAAGGATACCATCTTCAGAACCTGGAGAACAACCTCCTCAAGGACTTGATCGATCGTGCCAAAGAACATGAACTGGAATACCTGGACTATTTGGTCAAACTTCAAGAGCAACGTGAAAAGAACTGTCAATTGTTGACACAGACTTTCGAGATTTGTCTGAGATACCAGAAATTATGTAGACAACTTCGAATTGAGCCGAAGATGAAGTTGACCGAGTTGAGAGATGAAATGAAAGAATTCGTGGTCAAAACGAATGTGAAGCATATGGAAAAGTGCAAGGAACAGCAGGATGAGCTGCTTCATGAATGGCTGTAAAATTTTTGATTTAAATTTTTTGTTTCCCTTAGGTAAGTTATAGTAAGTGTGGCAGAGTATGATAGGAATCGGGAGAATAGGGTAGAGTAGATTAGGGTAGGATAAGGTATAGTAAAGTAATGTAAAATAAAGAGCATAGCAGAGTATCTTATTAGGTTGTTCAAATAATTCTAACACCGAAAATTTGCTTTGAGAAGGGACACAGAATTACCTGAACAACCTAATTAGGGCCGGGCGGGGACTTTTGGTCTGGGGGCAGGGGTCCAAAAAATCGGCACAGGTAGCTGCTACCTGTGCCGATTTTTTGCGAAAATTTTTTTCCAAAAAATCCACAGGGGGGACCACGTTCAAATTTTTTTCGAAAATTTTTTTTCTGGGGGGGCGGGGTACCCCCCCCTCGCGCCCGGCCCTGAACCTAACATTTAAAAAATGATTTCAGAGATCATGTAAACTCATTGATCACCAAGTTCCTGGCTTCACCAACGCCAGAAGTGCCCAAAAATGAACGAAAATTGGACGAATCATCTTGATCTTGTCGTGATAGAAATTTGAATGAAACGCTGAAGTTTTATAGTTTTTTATCGATTGAAAGATTGAGATAAGCCTATATCTTTAAACATAGTCTTATAGTGAAGCTGTCGCTCCAAATCTTGACCTATAATATGAATAACTAATGGTTTTCAAAACGATACCCACATCAAACTCTAAAATTTACATTTTCACCAAGATTTATTGACCATAGAACTCAAAAAAAGTCGGTGATACGAATAAACTAGTTGCTGTATCGTGTGCACGTCTAGTGTCCACGCTCCTTTTCGTAGCCCACGCCCGGAACGTAGTTTTCTTCGGCGTTGTGGAAGAGGGAGTGGTTGCCGTCGCCCCAGGGGAAGGGACGATTGCGTACGTTCAGGTAAGGGTATTCGACGTACTCGTCGCGCGGGGTGTGATGGTGCTTCTCGTGCTCGCGGTACGCGGCCCACATGGAGATGAGGAGGCATGGGATAGAGCCGACAAAGAAGATCTTCTTCCAGTTGTCGGCCGTGCCACGCGACGTCTTCAGACCGTCCTTCAGCTCTTTGCCAAAGTGGTCGAAATTGTTTTGGCCGTAGAAACTACCAGAGGATTGGCGTTTCTGGAATGGGTTGAGATTAGTTTCAAGCATAACACAATATTACTTGTTTGTAGGATTCTTTCGATAGTCAAAACACCTTATTTTTCATAAAAATCCCGTTTTAATAGATAAAACAAAAAAAAGTTTAAAAACTCACTGGTTGGATTTTCCCTCTCAAGGCTGGTGCGAAAACGCGTGTGGCTACGAGTCTGTTCAGTGACATGGCTCAAACCTACAACAAAATACAATTAGTTTTGTCAAAAAGTTGTCGACAAGGTTAATCATAAAACGCGATGAATTAAAGATATCACGACGTTACCAACAATGAAAAGTCGCCAAAAACCCTAAATTTCCATACAAATAGAATAAATCATGATTTTTAAATATTTTCGAACCCAGAATTTCAATTTTAATTACCTCTATCTCTATAAAGACCAAGGGTAGTGAACAAACCCTCAATATAAGCCCAAAAACCACTCAAAAAGCCGCAAAATCAAGATATAATACGTAAAAACAGTGAAATCAAAAAGTAATCAACATAACAACCAAACTAATACAAAATTCTAGAAAAATTAAAAAAAAAACTATCAAAAGAAAGTAAAAAAGGCCATCCGAACCTTGAAACAACAAAAAAAGTAACACAAAACCAACATAAATATATATTTTTTACCAACCAAGTTACAAACAGAACATCAATTAGTCAACAAAAACACCATAAATCACTCAAAATTAATATACAAACTTGTGAAATTTAAAAAATGCAAACATAGCCTTGAAAAATGGCCATATAAATGAAAAAAGACCTTTACATGGAACCGAGGTTTTGAAAAAACAATAAAGATTTCGAATTAATATGTGAGTATCGAAAACGAACGTGAACATCGATAGCTTGAGAGATATTAAACTGATTAAACTATGTTACAATATAAAAACGAAAAACCAAACTTTGTACATAACTAAACACAAGTACTGTGCAGTAAAGGGCAGTATCAACAACTTCAAATCAATATTTTGTTAAAGTAGTACTAAATGTAAGCAAAACTGTCCTCATCAAAAATAAATTACTGCTGAGTATTTTTAGGCGCAAACGCAAAAAATAACTCGGTAAACTTGTCGATATTATAAGTGGCTTCATCTAGAAATCGGCGAGCTAAACATGTTTCAATCTCAGTTATGTTATCTACCATCAGCTGGTTCTCGGTCGCCTAAAATGATCATAATTATATGAAAAACAGTAAATTTAGGTAGAAATTGAGCTTAAGAAAGTTGTAAGAAAGTTCTGCAAGAATTGCTATACCAAAACCCTTGAATTAAAGCCTAGACAACCAATTTATCTTATTTGATGTTGAATGACGTAAAACAAGATCATTTAACGTATAAAATCTAAATTCTCAAGAAAAAAATAGTTAAAACACAAAGTTTTAAATGCTTTTACTTTGGAGCACTTTTCTCCAAAACAATATACCCTAAAATGTCCAAAAATCACCACCAAAACCCAAAATATTAACCTACCTGACCCAAAAACGCAGCAGTAAGCTTTCGCATTTTAGAAATCCTCATGTCCCAAATATCTCTGACTAGGGGCATCATCTGATCATGTTCTGTAATGTCATGTGCAGCTTTTGAAATCAAAACCCTCGAAATTTCGAAAAAATGCTTGGGAAGTTTGGTCAATCCAGGCATACCTCTTTCTTCTTGAATAAACTTCTTCAGCTCCTCTATGGTCAGCCATTTTGGTGCCTAAAATTAGAAATTTAGAACAAGAGGCATTTGAAGATAGTGTTTAGCATATTTGTTGAAAGGCAGTCAGATTTAATACCTAAATTTAAAAAAATATCAAAAAACTTACAACAATCTTAGCCTTATGTCTTCGACGAAGATAAAAAGCTACAAACAATGGTACATCAATAGGCATTCCAGCTTCAAATGGTCCAGCTAGTCCGAAGAAGAATTCTTGAGGCTGTTCAGTTGAAAAGTTTGGTATAACCTAAAACAATCAATTAAATATTATGTTACCTTCAATATCTGAAACTTTTAAAAATCAAGCTTAACAACTAGACATTTTAATGTAGTCAACACATCGAAAAAAAAGAAATCATGAGACAAAAAAAAGAAAAAAACAACTCACAGTTATTGGCTCGTCTTCGGCCATGAAATCGCACTCTTCTGGATCCATCTTCTAGTAGAATAGAATTTTTTGAAAAGTAAATTACTATTCTTGCTTATTAATTTTACGATTAAAAACTTTTTGTTAATAATACCAGCAAGATTTTTTGACGAATAATTTTGGCTTTTGCACGCATTTTTCGTCTTTTCCTGATGTTTCAAGCGTTTCGTGGTGGGACCAAATTGCAGTGTCAGTGTGGTTGTACTGCTGACTTGAAAACTTTCAGTACGTCTTATGTTTAAAAATTTTGAATGTATACTTTCAGGTTTATTTCAAAATTGATTTCAACTCGATTAAAAACTCTTACAATAACTGCACGGTGTAGTAACTAAAATGACCCAAAAATCAGCGTAAATTAAAAAAGATGATAATCTTTTTTTTAAATTCCAAACGGCTCAAAATCAACAACCTTTATTATGAGAACACTGCAAAATCAAATAAGATATACAATAACAACAAGCAAGAAATGTATAGAATCTGAATGTTACTATTGAAATTTAAGCCATTATAGCTACTTTTAAAGCAATCATAATGCTATTATGCTTATAAAGTAACTATAAAGACATAATTACTTTACATAACAACATTATAATCTTTAAAAGTAGCAATAAAACTTTCTTCAATTAGTAACGGTAATGGTCTGGCTTGAAAGGTCCGTTGACTGGTACTCCAAGGTAGTCAGCTTGGTCTTGACTGAGCTCAGTTAGCCTTACTCCAAGTTTGCTCAAGTGAAGACGAGCAACTTCTTCGTCCAAGGTCTTTGGCAACACGTAGAGGCCAATCTTGTACTCTTCTGATGTTCCGTGCTTGGTGAATAACTCAACTTGAGCCAACACTTGGTTAGTGAATGAAGCCGACATGACGAAAGATGGATGTCCAGTAGCACAACCCAAGTTACAGAGACGTCCCTCAGCTAACAAGATAACGTGACGTCCGTTTTTGAGGAGGTAACGGTCTACTTGAGGCTTGACATTGTCCTTGGAGACACAGTTGTCGTTCAGCCATTTCACATCGATCTCACAGTCAAAGTGACCAACGTTACATACGATGGCATCGTCTGGGAGTTCGCTCAGGTGCTCGCCTCTTACGATTGACTTGCAGCCGGTTGTGGTGACGATGAGTTGAGCTTGAGAGGCAACATCTTCGAGACGGAGAACTGGGTAGCCTAAAACAATATAATTTTAGAAAAAAAATTAGATAAGCTTTTTTTAGATTTTACTTGCCTTAAATAAAACAAAATAATATAAGAATACTGCTTATGTGAAGAATGTTCAAAGCATAACTACTGTATGACAAATTCCTTTCAGATCACACAAACTCTCAGCTTAAAAGTCCCCAAAAACCATACCGGGACGAAAATTGATGAAAATCATGGTGATAAAAACAAAAACTGTTTAAACCGGTATAACTCCATCAAAGTTCTGACTTTGCTCTCCCACATCGGTAACACAAATCCGTCTTTTAGAGCAGATCTGCTGACTTGCGTTGTGGATAACATATTTTTTACATAAAAACTTGTTTTTTAAACTAATTTTAGATTTAAAATACAGAATGACAATGAAACAGATTTTTATAACAATATTATACTATAAAATCATCAAATATTACCCAATAAAGACCATAAAAATCAATTTCATTATATTCATAAGCAAACCCCTTACCTTCCATAGCAGCCTGCAGAGCGTTGATAGGATCGACTTCAGTGATGATAACTCTAGCTCCGAAAGCCTTCAAAGCAGCAGCTGATCCTTTGCCAACATCTCCGTATCCAGCTACGACAGCGGTCTTTCCGGCCAACATAACATCAGTAGCCCTCTTGATTCCATCTGGCAGCGATTCTCTGATTCCGTACAAGTTGTCAAACTTGGACTTGGTGACAGAGTCGTTGACATTAATCGAAGGAACCTTCAAGCTTCCATCAGCCAACATCTTCGCCAAGTTGTGGACACCAGTGGTAGTTTCTTCCGACAATCCGAAGATTCCTGGTAAGAATTGAGAGTATTCCTTGTGAACAAGGTTGGTAAGGTCTCCACCATCGTCCAAGATCATGTTCAAGGGTTGTCCGTCGGGGAAGACAAGAGTCTGAAGAATTATGGGTTTTTTTATAAAAATTATAGAAAAAATGATGTTGATAAAAAAAGCTAAATTTTTGTCTAAAAACGGCTAAATTTAGTGCTAAAGCAAGTTTTTAAAGTCTTAAAAGCTAGAGAAAACCTCATTTCTTCCCAAGACTTCTTAACACATAGAGACTTTCCTTGTCTTTCATCCCATAACATGCAAAACATGCCAAATCTTCCTAAAAAAACAAAAAAATAATCAAGCCTTACCTGTCTGATGCACCATTCGTACTCTTCGTCAGTTTCTCCCTTCCACGCGTAAACTGGCACACCAGTAGCAGCAATAGCGGCAGCGGCGTGGTCTTGAGTCGAAAAGATGTTGCACGACGACCATTGTACTTCAGCTCCCAATTCCCTGAGGGTTTCGATCAAAACGGCCGTCTGGACAGTCATGTGAAGACATCCAGCGATTCTGGCACCTTTTAACGGCTTCGATGGACCGTATTTAGCGCGCATCGCCATCAAACCGGGCATCTCGTTCTCGGCCATGATAATCTCCTTGCGACCGAAGTCGGCCAAGGCAATATCGGCTACTTTGTATGCGGGCTTTGATGCGGCCATTTCTAAGAATTCCCTGTAATGAAAACATGTAAAAAGGTAACAACTTTGATCTAAAAATGTTGTAAGTCAGCTCCACGAAAAATATAGAAAGTACAACATTTTAACATTATCCAATACCTACAACAATATAAATCTTACCAAAACCAAACTTTTCCCACACCAAACTAAAATCCTAAGTAACCACCACCAAAAACAACCTTATTCACATCAAACTCCCAACTTTAGGCCGCTTTTATTACACAAAAATAAGCCGTGCGCTGAAATGACCGCCTTTTTTCGATATTTATATTCTCCACAGTCTAATCAAACAAAAGTTTACTTTAAACTAAAAAGCCAAAGGTCGTATGATGTAAGATGGGTGATATATCAAGTAATTTAACAAAAGTGGAAGTCTGTATCGTGGAAATAGCAAAAAACAATCAAAAATCAAGTTTCGGTCAATGGGATAGAACAAGGTGTCAATGATGTAGCAAATATTATAAAATTTAGACGGAACCTTATTAAAAATTACTGTAACATCCTCTTTTTATTTTATTTCGAAAAAATAAAAAATAATTTCATTTCTCCCATGTCCCTTCTTGGCAGGGGTTTCGTGGTGGGACCAAATGGATGGCCGAGTGTTACCAGTAAAATCTGATTTTCTGGGCCAGTAAAGTGATATATCGTGGGTGCAAGTTAATTACAATATGTCTAACAGGTTTATTATTTTCTTATGTTTTGCTACCTAAAATACACATTTAAAAATTAATTTTGAATTTCGCGGCAATTCTGATAACACTATCCTGATATACTCAAGCTCGATTTCCATCAAAAACCTTTTTAAAATCTAATTTATTAACCAAAACTAGTTATTAGTGTGCAAAGAGCTTTCCATTGCTCCAGTTTCGAGATGAACAAGATCATTTGTGTCATGTTGTTTTTCTTCTTCTTCTTCTTCGGGCATTTCAGCGATAGTCGAAAACCGACCGCCTTGTTCACAAAACGCGACAATCAGTTGTGTTATGCCATCTGCTGTAAGATCGGCCGAACTTCCAACATGGCCAAGCAATGGAGCGAGGATTTGGGTTAGGGTCTGGAAATTGGGATGTTGTAGTAGGTAAAACGAAATTATTGTTAAGGTATTGGTAATGACCTTAAATGATTTTTATATATTATGCTTACCTGATCATTCCCGTCAAGAATCCAGCCATCAAAAGGCAGGTTAATATCGCTCATTCCGAGGACGAGCTTCATCAAGTTCAACAAGGGTTTCAAGGTGAAGGTCCGGTGAGCTTCGACCTCCTTTTCGGTATTTTTGAGTTGATCTAGTCCTGTCAAAAGCTCGCGATAGGTGTAGTTGACCAAGACGTTGATAGAGGCCATGGATTCGTCTCGATCTACTTTTAGTTTGTTCAGTAGCATCGTTTCAACATGGCGCATCTGGATTGAGACTCGATCAACTTCTTTTCGCTCTGCTTCTCTGCGTTTTTCTAACTTAAAGTGTGTTTTTAGGTAAATTTATTTGACTTTCCTGGTATTAAAGTTTGTAGGACCTTTCAAATAATTTGTTATTTAATACAAAATACCTAAAAGACCTTATTTTAGACCAAAAAAGTCTTAAAACCTTCATTTTTACCTCAAAAACCACCTAAAACACCCCCAATTTTGAAACAAAATCTCAAATTCCTACCTCAATTTGCCTGACAATGCCAGTAACAAACATATGTAAAGGTACAGGACAGCTCAATTTGGCATCGGGCTGTTTTTTCTTGATTCTTCTGACTAGGTCATCAAACACTAGGTAAAGGAAGTCAGTTGAGTCTGATTGTATTCGGTATCGACCATTCTTTACTCCACTGAACAAAGATACCACAGCCTCGGAGCCAAACGGTTGAAGGCCTAGTGAACTTTGAGATTCTGTTTCGAATTCTACAACAATATGTTTATATTTTGGTGGGGCAAGGTAGGCTAAAGTCAGGTAGAGTAGGGTAGGGTAAAGTACACCAGCATAAAGTAAGGAAAGGGAGGTAGGGTACGGAAGGGCAAGATAGAGCAGAGCAGGACAGAGTAAGGCAAGGCACGGCAGTACAGATAGGGTAGGTCAGAGTAAACATACCTGGATAAAGATCCCGAATTTCTAGTCCAGCTGATTGAGTGTCCAACGACAATTTATGTTGAGCTGCCCTTAACGCACCGACTTCGAAGCACAGTAACTTTAACGGTAATCGCCCTTCGATCAGTGAGGATTCTATAATAACATAAGGTAAAAACGTCAGGCTAAAAAAGTTTCTACCATTTTATGATCTGTAAAGAAAGTTCTTGCTATTGGCATAAAAACCTTTCTCTAACAATTGTAAGCAATGTTTTGTCATAGATAGTAAATTAGTATAATTAGTATAATAATATAGCCCTAGAAACAACATTTTTAATATAAAAACGGCCAATATATGAAAGGACAATACCTCCAGTAGAAGTTGAAGCAGTAAGAATGAAGCGGCTGTCTGCAACAGGTTGTCCGTACACGAACGTTGTGATTGACATGCCTTCGAATCCGCCTTAAAATCAAAAATTTATTATGTAAGGTGAGATTAATACAACTACCCTACCCTACCCTACTGTATCCTACCGTACCCTATTCTATTCTCCTTACTTATCCTGCATTAATATGCCTTTATCTTCCTTGACATAGCTTGTTGTGCCATGCCAAATCCACTTTTTTAGCCTTGCCTTAGCTTTACCCTACCCTATCTTTTTGTTTTGCTGGGTCAAAGAACCTAGCCATACCCCTTTCAGCTTATCCTGCCCCTTCTTATCCTACACACCCCTATCTTACCCTAAATGATTTTACCCTGCCCAACCCCACAATACCTCATCTTACCCTACTCTGTCCTACTTTATATTGCTTTACCCCACCCTACCTGTAGTAACAGTGAAGTTGTCCGGCTCACTGTAGCACTCAGAATGGAACACAAGATCCACTCTCGGAGCAGGCGACTGAACCGAAACATTGATCGTAGCCGATGTAGCTCCTTCAAACGTATCCACAGCTACAGAATTCACGTCCAAAACGACCTGAATCTTAACCTCAAGTTCACGACTTGATGTGAAGTTACTCGAGTCCTTTGAAGCGTTTTTAATCGTTTTTTCGAAATTTTCAATTTCCTCCCTTCTGGCTTCGAAATCAATGAATCTGGTCTCAGTGACCGGCATTCTGAAGATGGACGGTTCTGTGCCCAAATAACCGGAGGTTAATCGACAGTCATCCGAGAGTATTGTAACCATGCCACGGTGATTATGAGTGAAGTTGCATCGTCGTACTTCGATTGGAATTACTCCAAATTGAGCTGACCATACCATAGTGGTGTCATTGTAGAATAACAAGGTTTTGGTGGATGTTCCTACACAATATTGAGTTACTGGGGTGTCGTCTGAAATAAATTTGCTTTTCTTTTAAAGTTTTAAATTTCATTTTGAAAAATTATGCGATTTGGACGAGATTTAGCGTTGTGCAGCCTGCGTATGACAAGTTATACGACAATTGCCATTTTGTGTTTTGTAAAGAAAGTTTTTGCCATTTTGTGTTTTGTAAAGAAAGTTTTTGCCATTTTGAATTTTGTAAAGAAAGTCCTTGCCATTTTGAATTTTGTAAAGAAAGTTCTTGCCATTTTACATTATCTGAAGAAAGTTTTTACCATTTTACAATCAGTAAAGAAAATTCTTTCCATTTTAAATTTTGTAAAGAAAGTTCCTGCAATTTAAAACCACAAAACCTACTAGACTTATAAACCAGTAATGATGTGCACACAAATTGAAATCTCAACATGAATCTTGGCGTCCCACCATGAGTAAAACAGTACAGCATACGACGACACAGCACAATAATTGACGGCTGAATCGGAGTTTCGTCGATATTACCCATATCAACTACCGTATCACCCAAGTTGAAGGTCCATTCGTACTGTAAATATTGGAGATAAAGTATTAGTTTTTGTAAAAGTTAGTAGTGGAGTGTCATTTGGCAAAATTTATTACTAGGTATGTCATTTTTTAATATTTTTTTTAAATTTGCCATACTCGAAAAAAAAATTTTTACCACGCCCTGCAAAAAAACTTTTTTACCCGTCAAAAAAATTTTAATGTATAAAATCAAAAAAAAATTTTTTTCCCTACATTCACACCCTCCCCTTCAAAAATAACAAAAATTACCCCGCCTAAAAATTTTTTTTCATAAATCACATAAAATTACTATTAAATTTTTGGCAGTCCCCCCCCCCTTCCTATCCCCTAAAATTTTTTACCACGCCCAACCTCTCCCTTTACTACACTTGCCCCCCCTTACCATAAGTTTTTTGTTGGAATTGCTCAAAGTGGCAGTGAAACTGCTGTGTGGGTAAGCCGTCAGATACCCTCCACTAGCATTGAACAAGGTCTGCGTACTCGCCGCATACACAATTGGTCCAGGATGAATGGCATTCTGCATTTGACGGCCCAACACATGATTCTCGGCTTCGTATATACTCAAAGAACAGTTGATCGACTGAACGTAGATCTGATGATATTGACCTCGAGATAGCTCGCCCACACACATGTTGAAGGCTGGACCTTGTTTTAGTTTGTGTTCGAAGATGGGGTCTAGTGTAAAGGAGGCGTTGTCGACTGAAATGTAACATGGTAGTATATATCATATTGTAGTAGGTTTAAAATAGCCAGAACTAGTACTAGGACCAGGGATAAGGAAAGGGCCAGAAGACTAAGATAGGGTTAGAGCTAAGGCAGAGGCTAAACCTAGAGCAAGGCCAAGGCTAAAACTAGGGCTAGGGCAAGTAATATTAAGCCGTCTTAGGCTAGTGCAGGCTTAGTGGGCTTCGGCTACGGCTTAGACTAAGACTTAAGCTAAGGTTCTGGGCTAGGGCTCTAAGCTAAGGCTAGGGCTCTGGGCTTGGGCTCTGGGCTAGGGCTCTGGGCTAGGGCTCTGGGCTAGGGCTCTGGGCTAGGGCTCTGGGCTAGGGCTCTGGGCTAGGGCTCTGGGCTAAGATATAAGACTAAGAGATAATCTTTAATCACCTACCCGTTCCAAGCCTAAAAAACTTGAGTAGCCTAGGATGTAGCACAGCTACAAGAGCTTCTTCATAACTGGCCAAGAACTTTCCGACCAGTATGTTCAAAACAGGGGCTTTTAGGTCTTTCTCCAGCATCAAAGCAGTTTCCTGTCGATTATCTGGTTCTCGACCGGGATCGAAGATGGACAAGGTGCCATTCAGTGATCCAACAAATATTTGGTCTAAAAGTAAGTAGAATTTTAATTGAATTGAAGAAAAGTACACCAAATTACAAGTGTTACCTAAAACAATATTTTTTGACAAAATGTTACCTAAAATAAAATTTTTTCACTAAATGTTACCTAAAATTGTATTTTTTCTTCACTTATTACCTAAAATTTCAAAAACAGTCTCAAAATGACCTATTTTTCGTTAAAATTCGCCAAATTTACCTCTATTTCCAACCAAATTTGAAACGTGAATTGTACGACCCTGGGGCACTTCCGACCAAAACCATTCTTGAAAATGAAACAATGACATAATGAATAAGTAAAACTTGTCAAAAAATTAGGTATAGATACGACAAATTGTCATTTCTATGAGGTTTTATTGTTTTAAATACTCTTGAAGACCAGCGCATAATATTGGTCGGCATGGCAACTGAAAATTAAAATTTTATAAAAATTTTTTAAACATAAATGAATTTTAGGTTTTGTTTAAAAAGCTTGTATTACAATTTCAAATGTTTTAAATTTAATTTAAAAAATTAAAATTTTTCGATTTTTATTAAAATTTGGAATAGCAAAAGGAAAAAACGAAATAACTTTCTTTCCAATGTTCAAAAATCCAAATCCTTTGAGTAAGGTAACAACAATAATACACATACCTTACATCTGTCAAAGCCGTAAGAACTTTCTTTCCAATTTTCAAAACTTCAAATCTTTTGGCTAATATGACAAAAATACCTATACCTTCCATCTCTCAAAACCGCAAAAACTTTCTTCACGCCATCTCGTCAAAAACCCAATTTAAAATCAACCTATTCATAATTGACTGCGTCTTAATTAATCGAACTTCAAGAGTAAAAATATTCGAATTTTCATAGGCCAAACTAAACTATTTAAATCTCAAAATTTCATATGATAGTATTTATTCAATATTTGTACAAAAATGAGAATGGAATGACTAGACGGGGGTAATAAATAACGACATTATAGTAGCCAAAGTGAATTGGTGCGCGTTTTCACAGACAGAATTCGAGTTTGAGTCGAGGATTTGCTGAAAATAATAATATGCTTGACAAAAAAAAAGATAAGAAAATTTACATAAACAACCAAAAAAACTATTTAAAAATCCCCAAAAGTTCTAGGATTTTCTGCACCGTGCAACAAAATTAAGAATTTCCAATTTGTACCGTGCAGATGCACCCAGACCTTCTACAACAACATCATAAGCTAAAAAAGTGATATACAATAAAAAATTATTATAAAATATAAAGAACAATATCTGAATAAGGTTTTCATACAATACTTTTCGTTAAATAACATAGAACCGGATTCACAGCGAAACGAAATAGGCATGTCACGTGAAGAAAACTGATGTGTAATATAATAAAAGTTGATATTCCGCTTTGATTTTGAACCAAAAAAGATGTGTAAACTAATAACAATATTGTGACTAATTACTCGTTAATATAAAGATATTTTTACAAGCTTAAAACTTTGTTTCAGTCAAAAAGTCTGTAGAAAAGGGCCAAAAATCGTCAAAAACGACAAAATTTTGGCTAAAAAAGCCGTTTTCTGCCATTTTTTATCGTTATGTCACAAACTTTTTGATCAAAACTATATAAAAAATAAAAGTGTGGTCCTTTCAGTAAAACATAGTCAAAAATTAGATCCTTTGCAACAGTATCTCCTACAGTCAACCTTAATCAACTGCAACCTGTAGCAATCGTTCCCTATCTTCAGAAGGCGCACCTTTTGGACTTAACGGTCCATTCTTAATACTGTTCTTGATGTACGTCGACGCTCTGTCCAAATCCAGACATTCCATTGAGTTTTGAAGCCGAGAGTGTTTCCTTTGTTGAGCCGCCGTCTTCGTCATGCCATGGACGAGCATTCCTGTTAGGGTTAGGCCTAGACCCGTAATGTTTAGAGGCGTGATTCGATCGCCATGGAGTTGGTGGGCCAATAACAAAGTTATTACTTCCTGAAATATTTATAAATTGAAATTTTTGAATTTCAAAATTTTTGGTGTATTTTAAAAGCTTTAAAAAAGTTTTGTCGTTTTTAAACGTTCAAATATCTATAAATTGACAACAAGACTTATTAAAGGCCTTTATATTATAATAACACGTTTAAAAACTGTAAAAACATTAAAAATAGCCCTTTTTCATGCCTTATGAAAAGTAAAATACGTCGTAGCTTTCGTATTTAAGCATTCACCTAACTTGCGACTACTTAACCCTAAAAATCATAAAAACAAATAAAAATCTTACTTTGATAATGCCTAAGATGTTCAATGTGATACCAGAAGTATTAACAAGAAGCAGGAACTCTGAAAATAATCATTATCAACAAAACCATAAAAAAAACTAAAAAAATTAAATTTTTGTACAAAATCTACTATATTATCCTTTATATCTTGATAAAAACAATATCAAAATACCTTTTAACCACTTTAAAATATGAATAAACATTTTCTAAAGCTAGTACCAATAAACCCACCAGACATTTCCATGCAAAAAGCGAGCACTCCGCCAAACAGCACCAATACCACTATCGTGAACGGTTCATAACTCTGGTCGAACGAGGCTATCGACGTCCAGTTGATGTCACCCCCTTCGACCATGTAAACGACCGGCAATATGGTGAAGAACATCCACGTTTGAACGTGAGCCACCATGTCCAATGGGTGTCTTAGTGGACTTGGTTGATCATCCGATTGCATTATCAACTGACTCACGGTCCATCTCACACCCGTACATAAGGCGGCCAATTCGACCAGAGCTAGACCACGGACGTCTAGCTGTTCGCTGCGCCAGGTGAAAAGAACTAGTCCAAATGCAATGAGAGAGGCGGCCACACCAAGAGATGGACGCCAACGTTCGAGGCGAAGGATCAAGGAGAATATTACTATGAATAATATTGAACTGAAAAGAAACTTCATTTAAAAGACAAGGCTGAAAATAGATTCAAATTACTGTACACTCTCCCATAAAAACAAAAAACATTAACCAAAGACCTCAATTTACCTTGACTTAGCCATCGTATACAAGCTGACAGTTACATATTCCAATGCCCAATTTGATAGTCCAATATCAAGTGAAGCACATGATCCAACAGGCAGTAACCATCTGATTTGATCCTTGATAGCAACACGAGGCCTTCGTTGTCCTGTATACAACTCAATAATAGCACGAATTGAAATGGCAAGCACGAACTTAGTTAAATAATGACCCGAAACGACCAGGAGAGGTAGACTGTAGTGCTGAAATCGGAAATTTTAGTGCTTTAGATGGAAAACATTGCCTTTTTGACTAATATAAACTAAAATATAATGATTTTTTTGGTCGTCTTTTGCAAATCAAATCGTACTAAAACTCTTACGATCATTTTAATTTCTATTTTCCATATTATTCATGACCATAGAAGATAACACTATACTTTTTTAATGTTTTCCTAATCTTATAGCTTCAAAGACCCTCTAGAATATCAAATTCATTATTAGCTAACCCATACTGTTCAAAAATATCCGTAAGAAGCCAAGTTTGTAAAGTTTTTTCGTTATTTTAGGTAACATTTTTCAAAATTTTAACAGTTTTTAATTAAAAGCAAAAAAAATCCGAAACATCTTCGCTATCAAATTACTGATTCTAATCTCTAAAATCTTGTTCTCCATCCGCTATTACCTAAACCAACAAAAAAATCAACAAAGAACTCACTTTAATGAACCATTTTTGATAAAATGTCAACCCGACGGACAAGGGATAATACAATGATATCATCAGCAGTAGTTTCAACATGATTCGAAGTTGTCGCTGCTGTAGAGGTATAATCTTTGACGCTACTGTGCATTCGCCACGCTTAGAGCTTGTTTATGGTACCCGTTTTGTTATAAAACACCGGTCAATCGCGAGTTCAATAATCTACTTCAATATAGAGATGTGGCAGCCAAAAGTTGAACTTTGATGGTGAAATAGTAGATGAATTTGGGCTAAATTTGGTTTACAATAGTCAGTAGATAGGTAGATGAGTTATAAAAAAGTTATGAACAAGTAGATGGTTGAAATTGGCACCAACAAGCCAGTTATATTAACATAGGCGGAAAAAAGAGCACCAACGCCTGAAAAGTAACTTTATAATAATTTTTTGATAAAAAAATAGGTAACAAATTTATAAAAACAAAATATAAAAGCCCACACGCGATCAAGAACGGCATAAAAATTGACAAAATAACCGTCAAAATCATGAAAATTCATGGTAAATAATCAAAACAATATTATACTAGACACTAAAACCCGAAAACCGTGTCGTTCCACATGGAATTCCCCAACAACCATTATTTTACTGATAATAACCGAAAAATATGTAAAACCGACTAGTTCGAAAAATTTTGTAATAATTTTCAAACCGCAGTTCGATGGGATTTCGCGGCCGACAGTCCACGTTTCGGACTCGAGGCGGTTTTGCATATTGTACAGCCGTTTATACAATCGAACGATATTTGTTCGTTTCCCACAGCGTATATTGAAAGGGAAGAGAAAGAACAAAGGTAAACACATATACCTAATTGGTTTTTGGGGACACGCGAATAGGGTCAAATGTGATTGAGACACGTGCGTTATGGTCATGAATAACATACTATTTGTTTTAGTCGTTTTATCATTTTTTAACTAGCACAATACTCTAGCTCTAGCTATAAACCTAGTACATAAAAAGTTATCACTATAGACATAAAAACCTATGGTCATGAATCATAAAACATCGGCTTAAAAATTCAAAAATCAAGCTTCAAAACAAGGTGATATTCGATGTAAAGCCAGGAGTCAAAGTACAATTAAGCTTTTCAAAACAGTTTTTGCAGCCTTATATAGTCAGCCTTTCCCTGTTGTACTATATTTGGTAAAAATATGCATCATCAAATCAAAATGATCGCAGCAGCTTTGATACCTAAGCAGATCAAATATCATCACACAACCTTTATATAAATACCTAAACCTATATCTAAACCCAAATTATTATAATGATAGTAAGAGGTTGACCTTGCAATTGCGTTAAGTCCAAATATAGAAGTCTAATCTCAACTATAATTAAACTATTCAGTTTGACAAATCATGCTTTATAACTGTAGTAAAACTTTTAAAACCGTAGTAAAACAATAATGTAGCAGGCTAATAAAAAATAATTATTGCATTATTAGTACACTCTGTTTTATAACCTTATTATAAATTCTATGTATATAGACAATCACTCACCATGAATATATTATTTATATACATCCATCGTAAAAAATTATATCTTTAAAATTACAGATCATGCGTGACGTTTTTTAACCATATAAAGGGTAAAATGCGTCAATCATGTTTAGGTATTAGATTGCTCAAATAATTCTGTTCCCACTAAACCTGAAAATTCGCTTTGGAGAAGTGGCACAGAATTAATTAAACAACCTAATATGTAAAGTAATTTTCAATAGTACCCGTGGCAACCTTTTGATAAAAACGGGTACCTTCTCTTTATACTAATGCTAAAGTACTATACTTCCATACTCTATATCATAGCTACACTACTTAGTTCATAACCCTAATACTCACATATATAAAATATACGTATATATATAGATGTATATATACAAATACTACAGTTAAAAAACACAATTTCATCACAAAAGAATAAGAATAAAGGGTTACAAATGTAGAAAACCTTTCAAAACCCGCTTTAAAAGCAATATTTTAAGCAGTCCATGGAACCATCCCACCTAATAGGAAGTAAAATACATGACTAACATATCGTGAATTTGAATCATGATTTCAGGCGCAAGCCAATTTGAATATTAACTTAGATTAGCAGTTTTACGTGGTTAAACTGTAAAAATTGAAACACGGAACAAAGATACTTTGATTTCAAGGTCGAGAGTTATACTTGAGTTTGTTGAATTACAATATCAGCAATTACAGTATCAATAAAATATAAAGGCAGAAAGTTACTACAACATGTCACAGACATACAAAACGTGCAACAATAGAATTTTAATCATTCAAGACCAAAAACGTGATTGTTAATATCAGTTGTAATAAAGATACGAAGCTTTGAAATTAAGATTCCATTCCCGTATAAATTATGTTAATTAATACTGTCCGGTATAATTCAACATTGATTGAAAAAACAATATATTACAGAGTTTGTAAACAAAAATGCTCGATATTATTGTATTAAAGCCTTCATATGAGAGTTTGTAATTGCGCAAAAAATCAGAATTTAGTTATTGCACGCTGCAGAAAACAAAACCCCTGATACTGACCTGTATCGACAAGCACTTTAGCCAGTAAATCAATCTTCATGATCTACACTAGAAGGCACGTGGATGTTTATAGATGGTTTATCTTTTAAAAACACTAGTAGTTCATGAGTAATTGGAAACGTTTTGTTTTTCCGAACTGACATTTTGATAAGATCAAAGAGGCAGCTGGACTTGTCAAAGATAGAGTAACCTTTAAAGAGTAGTGAAACAATAGTGTTTAGTAGTGTACTAGTATTTAGAAAGTCGAGCCTATTTTTTTATCATTCTTCTTTTTGACCATTAGAAGCTTGTTCAAAAGTTGAAGACGTACCTCGTTGATATGATGTAAGACCATTAAGAGAAATACTAGGTAAGTATATTCATAGAAGTATAAGCTAGAATTTGTACGATTGATCTAATTTTTAATAAATTTAAAACGCAAATGAGAATTTTAACTGCCTACACAATAATATTTTACATGTAATTCAAATTTTGAATTCAATTTTTTCACAATTGAAAAAGTCAAAGTCCAATTCCCACGGAACGTTTGTTCAGAACCGTCTATGACAACAAATTACATGCAAACATAACATTATAACGATCATATTTTGAATAGCAGACATGATTTAATGACTTTCACGTTTTTGAATTTTAAAAGTCTTGTCAGTTCATTGAACTTTTTTGAACCTTAATAACCAAATGACATTTTAATGTTTTGAAAAAAGAATTTTAAAGTTTAAAAAAGCAATTTAAAAAATCATTGAAGTTCCAAAAAGGTTAAATAATTGAGAAATTGAAAATACAAAAACGTGAAAGTCATTAAATCGTGTATGTTATATAAAAAATGATCCTCATAATGTTATGTTTGTATCTAATTTGTTGTCATAGAGGATTCTGAACAAACGTTCCACTGAAATTGAACCTTGCTTTTAATTGTAAAAAATTAAATTCAAAATTTGAATTACATCTAAAATATCATTGTGTAGGCAATTAAAATTCTCATTTGCGTTTTAATTTAAAAAAATTAGATCAATCGTACAAATTTTTAGCTTCTGTTGTTCTTTATTTATCTTGTATTTCTCTTGATGACGTCAAATCGTATAGTACTTTTCTTAATAACACAAAATATCAATGAGATACGTTTTTAACTTTTGAACAAGCTTCTAATGGTCAAAAAGCAGAAAAATAATCAAAAAATAGAAGTTTCTAAATACTAGTACACTATACCTAATATTTTCATAACAGTACTCTATAGAAGTTACTCCATCTTTGACAAGTTCAGCTGTCTCTTTGATCTTATCAAAATGTCAGTTCAAAAAAAGAAAACGGCTCCAATTACTCATGAACTACTAGTGTTTTTAAAAGATAAACCATCTATAAACATTCACGTGCCTTTCCTTTTTTATATATTTTGCTAGATCTAACGTTAGATTATTGAAAAATTTGTTTCAATTGGTATTGTTGCATCGTTATTAAACAGCATATACAATGATATTACAATAGATGTTACTATTTTCGGTCGAAATGGAAGAAAAGATAGTTTGGAATTTCATTACAGAACTCAACTACACCGTACAACACACATTTCAATGTGATATAAACCTTAAAACACAAAGTATTGTACTTGTTATTCTACAGTTTTACTCGGCTACGTCAACAGCTAATCCGAGTCAATATTCGAAATGCGTCTGAAATCAGTATTCAAATTCCCGATTCAAATCAAAATATTATCGATTTGATAGTTTAAGGGCTTCAAATCAACATATTTTGATTTTACAAGGTTTAACCTACTTTAGGTAACCAACTTTAGTCCTTACTTTATCTGTTCAGCAACCAAAAAAGGTTTACTTTGACAATAAATTGAGTTATATCAAACACTACATGAATACAAAAGAAAAAACACATCTCAATTAAAAATCTTGATAAATAAGCACTTCCAAAAATAAAAAAGGAATCCAAAGATCATCTAATCTCCATCAGCAACATCAGTTTTATCCCAGTGCAACCACAAAAATACCGATTTTTCTTCAATATTCTTCATCTATATTCAATTTTTTTTTCAAATTGTAACGCTAACTGACATTGCTTTTCCGTTACAAATACATTCTTTCTCAACTTTACACATCAATATTAACAATATTCCTCCGACTTCCTATCCAATATTTTAATTTTACCACCAAAATCTCCTCCAAAATCCAATTTTTTGCTCATCTATCACAATATAATCCTTCATAATTCACAACTTTCACTCAAAATCCCCGCTTTTTCTCAAAAAACTTTTAAAAAATCAAAGAAAACATCTTTTTAATCTAAAAAATTCGCGTTTACCCTCCTCGCCGCCATGTGATAACGTCAAATCCCTCCACAGACCAACACAAATTGATAAAGAAAAACAAAATTTTCGGTTCTTTTCCGCTTGTTTGACACAAATCTCACCTGCCGATCATACGAAAAGTAGCAACCCGACCCTCTCGACACCACCACTAAAACAAAGGGAACAGGGTTTTGCGCGTGTTCGATGGA